TCAAAAAGTTGAAAGAAATGATGGGAATGAGCCCGTGGGCAGAAACTCAAAAAGGGAAGACAACTCAAAAGGTGTAGGACTGCTCTCAAAACTACGAGTCTGGTGATACAAATTTTTAATACTTTTGGCAAAAAGGGTAAAGATAAGAAAAATTGCTTTTTGCACCAAGATGGAAGGAAGCAAATTGGTGATAATTATATTAATCAATGATAGAGAAAACAGAACTACTCGATTCTTGTTTTGCATTTATCTTTTCTATCAAGGGGAATAGTCTTCAAAATGGAGATTAAAACGTTTTGGGAGAATTAAAACCAAAGATAACTGAGGCCATGGCAAGAAGACAACAAGCCGCTTTGAATAAAATCAGATTCAAGTCTCCTGGTTCCGTCCAGTGCATCCCAGGGTATTAGAAGAACTCGTAACACAATCACTGAAGAACTATCTATAATCTTTGAAAATTCACAGAGAATGCTAGAGGTGTGGTCCGGAAAAAAGAATAATGAATGTGGAATTAGAAGTTCTGGGTTTGAACCCTGGCTCTGCCATTTATTACCTGTGTGATCTTGGACAAGTCATTCAACTCCTTTAAGCTTCCTTATTTTTCAAACGAAGGGATTGGCATAGATGACTTCTAAGGTCCCTTTTAGCTCCAAATCTATGATGATCTTCTAAATGTTGTCTTGATTTCAAAAAGAAGGAAAGGTGGTGTTTGGATACTATAGGCTAATGAGTTTGATGTTGATTCCCCGCAAAATCCAAGAACTGATTATCAAATGACTTGTGAGTGCTGTAGCCAAGAACCAACAAAGGTTCATTAAAAATAAATCATGGATAGATTACATTTAGAAAACTACTCAGGACCTTCAGTGATCCCAAGCTTCTCTTTAACATAAAACTGACCTTTTTAACACAGATTTTCTGGCAGTGATACTATAAGGCTACAAATTATGGAAAAACCATGATCACCAAAAAAATCAAAATTGCGAGTAACCCAAAGGACTCGGAGAGACACGTGGTGGATGTAAATAGCCTGCAGCAAATTGCTAACAATGACTTCTATACAAAAAGTAGCATAAAGTATATTTTCCAGAAAATTGTTAGAAGACCTCAAGGAAGTCTTCCAAGGTGTTGGGTATATCTTCTATGGTAGATTTATGAAAAGATATGGAAAAGAATTTCAAAGCCTGAGAAAGTGTGGATGGATTGTCATCTATACCATTTGAGGAAGTACCCACATTAATGATATTAATTATGAGTGTTTTTCAAGGCTCTGTCCTGCGCTCGCTTCTCTTTTTTCTCTTTGCTATGTCACTTGACGACTTCATCAGCTCCCAAAGGTAAAATTATCATCTCTTTTTATGTTCATATGAGTGCTGTGTTTGAATGTCAGTTTTTCTACTTGACTCTGGTCTTTTCATCAGGAATGTTTAAAAGTTCTCTATTTCATTAAAAGTCTAATTTCCACCCCCCATAAGATTATACTCAAATTTTACAGACTAGTTATTTTTGGTTGCAATCCTACATCCTTTGCCTTCTGGAATACTATATTCCAAACTGTCTGCTCCTTTATAATGGTGGCTGTTATATCTTGTATGATCCTGCTTGAGGCTTCATAATACTTGAATTCTTTCTTTCTGGCTACTTGAAGTATTTTTTCCTTGACCTGGGAGCTCTAGATTTTGACTATGATATTCCTGGGAGTTTTCATTTGGGTTTTCTTTCAGGAGGTGACTGATAAGATTCTTTCAATTTCTACTTTACCCTCTGGTTCTAAACTATCTGGGCAATTTTATGATTTCTTGAAATATAATATCTAACCTCTTTTTTTGTATGTGGCTTTCAGGTAGTCTAATGATTTTTAAATTATCTCTTCTCAATCTGTTTTCCAAGTCAGTTATTTTTCCTATGATATAGTTCACATTTTCTTCTTCTTATTTTTTTTTTAGTCTTTTGACTTTGTTTTATTATGTCTTGATGGTTCATGGAGTCATTCTATTTATCCAATTCTTATTTTCAAGGAACTATTTTGTACCTCTTTTACCAAGCTGCTAATTCTCTTCATATCTTTCTTGCATAGCTTTCATTTTTTTCCCCACTTTTTCCTCTATCCCTTTCATTTGTTCTTTCAAATAATTTTTTGCTCTTTTTTTAAACTTTCTTTAACTCTTTTAGGAATTCATGTTGGTTTTATGTCCATTCTGCAATTTTCTTTGAGACTTTGCTTAATGATGTTTTCAAGTCATTATCTTCTTCTCTAGTCTAGAGCTTCCCTGTCGTCACAGTAACTCTTCATGGTCAGATTCTTATTTTGTTTGTTCATTCTTCCAGCCTGTTTCTTGACTTTGAACTTTATGTTGGTGCTGGGCTCTGAGCACTTTGGGGGGAGGTGGGATATGGGATGTCTGGGCTGAACTTCTGTACTTTTCTGCTGGTTTCAAAGTTCAATCTGAGGATCTACAAATTTTCAATGCTCCCAAAGTGGTGTGATCTAGGTAAGATCTGTTCACTTCCCTCCCAGTCTGAACTCTGCAAATTCCTGATCCAGGCTTTGGGTCTGTTGGTTTGTGTGTGGTTGAGTTTCAGTAGACCTCTACTGGACAAAGTCATTGTTAGTCTGCTGGAAAGTTCTGCAGGTTCAGAAAGACTAAACCACTGGATCCCCTTTTGTCTGGATTTCCTGCCTTTATTCCACTGCAGGCTTGTGTGCTGCACTAAAGACTAGAACTGAGTCTCTGCTCTGCTGCTGGTCTCAGAGACACACAGCTGGAACTTTGAAAGACAGTGACTCTGATCAATACAATGACCAACCACCATTCCAAAGGACTTGTGATAAAATATGCTATCTGCCCTCCTCCCCAGATAGAAAACTAATGGATTCAGAGCACATTTTGAAGCATATTGTCTTCTCTTTCTTTCCTTTTCTTTTCTTTTTTTAGACATGGCTAAATGTGAGAATTTGTTTTCCATTGTTGAAGTCAAATTCGGGAGAGAGGTTCGAATGTGCAAGAATTCACTTAGACAATGTTCTCTCAGCCATTGGGAGCTTTATTATGTGAAGCACATGGGCCTTGTTAGCAAGAAAGCTAATGAAGGCCCTGATATTTGGAGGAACCAGACTTATATACAGATTTCAGAATGATGATGTAGCTTTAGAGTTTTTTATGGGGGTTAAAGATTAAGGACAGGACAAGAAAGGAGTTTATGACATAGGATGAGGGAGACAAAAGAAATTCTTTATGGTCCAGGATAAGGTTTTTATGGTTTTATGGTGGGTTAAAGATTTAAGAACAGAGCAAGGCCACAGGTTAAAGATTAGGGACAGGGGAAACACAGGATAAGGGAAACAAAAACAATTCTTTTGATACAGGTTAAGGAGAAGTTTTATGGTATTTCAAGATAAGGAGAAAAGGACTTTAGAATGCTCTCAATTTACAGGATGAGACACAGAATGAGGCCCTTCTAAGGAGGGGAAAAGCAATCCTTAATATTCTTCTTAACCCCTAGGGTACTGTTTATATCCACATCACCACGACTATAGATATTTGTAATAGGTTTTGTTTTTCTTGTCTTCCCAATGGGTAAAGAAGGGGGGAAGGGGAAGAAGAGAACTAAAAATAAAATAAAATTGAATTTTTTAAAAAAAAGATTAAACTTTTACGTGTCATACATTTTTTTTCCAAGAGAGTTGGTTCTTCAATATTTACCAGCACATCCCTGAGTTGAGCTAAATGACCTTCCAACCCTATGTTTCTTTGGGTATTTCTTGTTCTTTAAGCAGGGGGGAAAAGAATATGGTGAACGGTCTATGGTTAGCTTTACTTACCCTGAGCTCTTGGAGGAATCAATCAATCAACTAGCATTCAATAAGTACTTATTGTATGCCAAGTATGTTGTTGGGTACTGGGAGTACAAAAAATGAAAAATTCCTGCCCTCAAGTAGTTTACATTTTATCTGGAGAGATAACATGGACACAATAATAACTAGCATTTATATAGCATTTTAAGGTTTATAAAGCACCTCAAGTGGTATCTCATTTGATCCGTGTGTGTATATACATATATACATATATATATATGTGTATATATATATATGTATATATATACACATAAAAGAAAATCAAGGTCATATTGGCAGGGAGAATTTATAAGCAATTGGGGGAGGGGGTCAAGAAAGGCTTCATCAGAACCAGGAGGACATTGTACACAATCACAGGAACATTGTGCAATGATCAACTTTGATGGACTTAGCTCTTCTCAGCAATACAATAGTCTTAGACAATTCCAAAAGACTCACGATGGAAAATACTATCCATATCCAGAGAAAGAACTATGGAGTCTGAATGCAGATTGAAGCATACTGTTTTCATTTTTTATTCTTTTTCTTTCTCGGGGTTTTTCCCTTTTGTTCTGATTCTTTTTTCACAACATGACTAATGGGGAAATGTTTAATATGATTGTACGTGTATAACCTATATCATATTGCTTGCCATTCTGGGGTGGGGGGAGGGAAGGGAGGGAGAAAAAAATTTGGAACTCAAAATCATCTAAAGTGAATGTTGAAAACTATCTTTACACGTAATTGGAAAAAACAAAATACTATTAAGTGAGGAAATTTTTTAAAAAAGATAAAAGAAAAAAAGGCTTCATGTAGAAGGAAATGCTTGAGTTGAGTTCTGAAGAAAATTAAGGATTTTAAGAAGCAGCAGTGAGGAGGGATTACCTTCTAGAAATGGGGGATAGCAAGGGTAAAGGCCGGGAGATGGGGGTCACTTGTGTGAAAAACAGAAAGAAGGCCAGTATGATGGAACCAAAGCATATGTGAAGAGGAGTCATGGACATTGAGGTCAGAGAGGTAAGTTGGAACCTGGTTATGAAGAGTTTATATTTTATTTTAGAGGGAATAGGGAAACACGTTGATACAGCTACCAGGCCGTGCCCCCCAAAGTTAAGAGGCATCAAGTTACTTCTCACTGACTCATGTCATTTTTTTCCCCTCACAGGAAATCTGCGAGAATCCCAGGTTTATTGTGGGCGGAGCCAACAGAACCGACATCTGCCAAGGAGATTTAGGTGGGAAATTCCCCAGCGCTCCCTTGTGCTGAGGCCAAGAGAAGGCCGGGCAGTGCCGAGAGGAAATGACTGACTTTTCTTTCTTCTCATTTTTTTGGGGGGTGGGGGAAGGCCCTGGGTCACACAGCTAATAAGAGTCTGAGGCTGGATTTGAACTCAGGTCCTATTGAGTCCAGAGCTGGTGCTCTATCCGTTGCACCATCTCGCTGCCCTGGAATGATGGACTTTTGATGCCATTTTATCCAATCTTAGAGGCAAATTCTTCTCATGACAGAGATTTTCACATTCATTCACCCGCAGGTGAAGATTTTTCATTTCCTTGCTTTCTGTTTTCTATTTATGAGCGTGTTGTTCCGTACTACAGGAAAATAACAGAATAGGGATAGAGGCTAGATCTGCGGTTTCATTGGCATAAAGAAACTCCTCCTACCAATGCAGACCAGCGTCTTCTCTACAATTTATGGGCTTAGAGAGGTGCCTGAAGCACTGAGAGGTCAAGCGATTGGCCCAGGGTCACTAAGCCGATATGTATCAGGTAGGACTTGAATCCAGGATTGCCCGGCTATGCAGGACACCACATTGCCTCTTAGTAATAATGAAAAGAACTGATTGTTAATTATATAGTGCTTTCAGGTTCAGGAAGCACTTTACATACATTATTCCATTTGATTCTCACCACCGTGGGGGTAGGTACTGTAATTATCTCCATTTCCTAGAGGAGAAAACTGAGGCTTAATAAGATAGAGGGACCTGTCCATTGTCAGATGGCTAATAAATGCCTAAGGCGGGACACCAAAGTCTCCTGACTTCGAGCCCAGCACTCTATTCACTATGCCGCAATTGCTACCTGTAAGGTATACTTCACTTTACATGACGCACACATTCCTGAAAAGGAGATGGACAAATTGAGTTTTTCTTATCATAGTTTAAATTGTACTTTAAGTGCTCTAGAAGGGCTCTTTCTTCAAAAGAACCCAATTGGGTAGTTTTTGCAAATGAAGAATCTTTTTAGAATGTGCAGGGGAAAGAGCACCAAATTTGGAGTCAGAATATGATTTTTTTTTTTTTGGCTAGGCTATGGGGTTAAGTGACTTGCCCAGGGTCACATAGCTAGTAAGTGCTATGTGTCTGAGGTCAGATTTGAACTCAGGTCCCCCTGAATCCAGGGCCGGTGCTCTATCTACTGCGCCACCTAGCTGCCCCCCAAAATATGATTTCAAAACCCTCTTCTCATATTTATCACCTTTGTGACCTTGGGTATGTCACTTAATCTCTCTTGGCCTCAGTCTCCTCTTCTGTAAAATGAGAGGATTGATTAAATGATTCATAAGGACCCTTCCAACTTGAAATCTATGATCCTACATGTAATAGATGCAAGGGGCAGCCACCCATCCTGATATCTCAGTCAAACTAGTCAATGCAATGGGGTACTTCTCTGATTCTGTGTTTCCAAACTGTTCCTCTGCTCAGCTAGATTTATTCCTCAACAGCAAACGTATTATCCATCACTTCCAGCTTCAAATTTAGATGATGCAGTTCTGATATCTGTGTCTCCTCTAATATTTTTGAGCTCAGTTGTGGTTCCTCTCTGCAACAAAACCTCGTCTGCAATGATGAATAATCAATTTTTCATTTTCTATCTATAATCTGATAAATTATATTTGTCTAAAAATTATATGACAATTATATCTCTCCAGCATATAACAGTTTGTCACATTTAAAATCTCAAAACTCTTCATTGCTTCCATAACTCTCTAGGAACTCTGATCAGGCTTACTCTAGCAACAGACTTTGGGGTTTTTTTGGTTTGTTTTTTTTTTGGTTGGGCAGTGGGGGTTAAGTGACTTGCCCAGGGTCACACAGCTAGTAAGTGTTATGTGTCTGGGCTAGATTTGAACTCAGGTCCTCCTGAATCCAGGGTCGGTGCTCTATCCACTGTGCCACCTAGCTACCCCCAGCAACAGACTTTGAAGGGACAGTATGTTGCAACTGAATCTGTAAACCTCATATGAAACATCATCCTCAAATTTCTCGTTTTATAAAGTTAGGTTTTCTCACACTGGCACAACTGCTAAGGATTACTTGCTTCACCATCCTAAATGTGGTGGCATCAGGGATTTGGGATTTCTTCAAATTCCCTACAAATTGGTAAAAAAAAAAAGTGACGTATTTCTAAGAAACGTACTTCCTTAGCAAGATTATTAGACTATTTTGAACCATTCCTGTTATTTTCAATATAGCTCAAATATATATACTGTTGTGGAATCAGACATTAATTTACAATAATGGCTTTTAATCAAGATGTAGATTTTTGTGTTTTCATGTCAGTGAATCGCCATATCTTCAATATTTGAACTGTAGTTCCTCCTATGTCTTAAACCTGGATGAAGTTTGATTCCAAGTTTTCTTCAGCATTACAGTCAAGTTGTAATCAGTGATGAAATTATAACCTAATATAACTAGATATGTAACTATATATAAAACTATAAATATAACCAATTTAACAATATATTTATTTGCACATTATAATACTAATTTATTTCTACTCAATACATATTTTTCAAAAGGATATAATTGAGTAACATTTCTTTCAACCTAAAGGCCCCATTAAAAATCCACTCTTTTGGGGCAAGTAGGTGGTGCAATGGATAGAGCACTGGCCCTGGAGTCAGGAGGTCCTGAGTTCAAATCCTGCCTGAGACACATGATACTCACTAGCTGTGTGACCCTGCGCAAGTCACTTAACCTCGATTGCCTTGCAAAAAAAAAAAAAAAAAATCCACTCTTTGCCAGTGATAGTATAATGGAAAAATCACTGGACTTGTGATTAGAAGATTTGAGTTTAAGTCCCAATTGTCCTACTTACCCTAGATGTGACCTTGATAAAAATAACAATTAATAATACTAATAATAGGTTCTCAACAATGTCTTTACACAAAATACAGACATTACTAATAAGCTTACATTTATATTGCACCTTACATTTTACAAAGCACTATACCACATGCATTATCCCTCAATAAACCTCTGAGGTAGATAGTATAAATAATATTTATCCTCATTTTTCAACTAAGCAAGCAGAAATTCAGAAAAATGATGGCCATGTAGAGTAGCTGAGAGTTGGAACCAGGCCTTTTGTTTCCAATTACACTGTTCTTTCTATTATAATCTTGTCTGTGCTTATCTTCTTGCTCATGAAAAGATTTTTGGGGAAAGGAGTAGACTGCCAAAGATCAAAATTCAGGGAAATTGGTGAGGGTGCAGAGTATAGCAATGTAAACAACTTGAGGATTATGATAGAGGAAGAATTTACGAGGACAAGCTAAAAGAATTAAGATTATTTATCTCAGGAAGAGAAGACAAGACGAGGGAATAGATAGGAGAATGGCAAATTGTCCCAGGAAAGTTTCTATCTGAAATCCTTGAAAAGATGATTAAAAGAATGAGAGTTATAATAGCAAGAAGATTGAGAACAATAATAATAGTAATTATTATGCTCATTATTAATAGTCACTCACATTTACATAGTGTTTTGTACTTTACAAAGCACTTTCCATATCAACAACTTTATGAGGTTAGTAGTGCAAGTATTTATAGCCACACTCTACAAATAGAGTGGCTTCAAACACTTACTAGTTGTGTGACCTGGCAAGTTACTTCACTACTGTTAGCCTGTTTCCCTATCTGTAAAATAGAGGTAATAATAACACTTACCTGTCAGTGTTGTTGTGAGGATCAAATGAGATAATAATAATTATAAAGCACCTAGCACGGTGCCTGGCATATAGTAAGTGCTATATAAATGTTAGCTATCATCATCGTGGGGATAATCATAATAATCATAATAATAATAGATAATATTTATATAGAGCTTATTGTGTGCCAGACTGTGCTAAGTGCTTTTAATAGCACCTATCTCACAGGATTGCCTTGAGGATCAAACGAAACAATATATGTAAAGCACTTTGCAAACCTTAAAACCACATATGAATGCCAACTATTATTATTCTTACCCACTATGCTTTTCCTTTCCTACAGGGGACTGTTGGTTCCTGGCTGCCATTGCCTGCCTGACCCTGAATGAGCGACTACTCTTCCGAGTTATCCCCCATGATCAGACTTTCACTGAAAACTATGCTGGGATTTTCCATTTTCAGGTGAAGATCTAGGCCTCCAAAGAGGGTATAAATAGGGAAGACGGTATGGTGAGGAATGAAGAGCGTTGGATTTGAGATTAGGGAACCTAGAGTCACATCTTTGCTTGGCTGCTTACTCCCATAATGACACTGGGCAATACAATTACCCTCCCTGGACCTCAGGGTCCTCATCTGCCTTTTTTTGCTTGAATTTGTATTCCCAACACTTAGCACAGTACTGGTAAGCAGCCTGACGCATGGTAAGTGCTTATTATGCTCCGCCCACTTTCTTTCTCACTATCTATCTATCCTATCTAGCTATCTATCTATCCTATCTAGCTATCTCTCTATCCATTCATCCATCTATCCTATCTGCCTATTATCTATCTACCCTACATAACTATCTACCTATCACCTATCTATCCATTCATTCGTCCATCCAGCCATCCATTATCTACCTGTCTGCTATCCATCTATCCATCCATCTATCTACCTACCTACATACCTATCTACTTATCTCACCTGTCTGGATATCCATCCATTCATTAATCTACCTATCTGCTGTTTATCTATCTACTTATCAATCCATCCATCCATCTACTTGTCTACCTACCCATCCATTTATCCATCTATCTGCCTATCGTATATCTGCATACCTATCTATCTATATATCCAGCCATCTATCTATTCATCCGTCTGCCTATCTATCTTTTTATCCATTACCCACCTACCTATCTGCCTATCTATACCTATCTATAGATACATACCTACCTACTAATCATACTAAATATATATTTATCTACCTATCACCTATCCATCCATCTACCTATCTTCTATCAAAAATGGGATGGGGGGCAGAGAGACGGTACCCTAGCATTCCTTGTCCTGCCTTTGCCACAAGACTAAGAGGGGAAATAGATATGGGAAACCCTGCCTATTGGTGGGAGAGGGAGAGTAGAGAGAGGAAGAAGGTGGGGGAACAGGTGTCCATCTCTGCCCAGCCTATAGCCCTATCTATTGTTGGAAAATTCAACTTCACCATGTGCTCCAGATGGAGCAGGAAGGAGACATCCTGTATAATGGCAGTTCAGCCTATTTTAGCCTCTCCAGCTGCTGAGGCTCTGCTGAAACTTGCAGTCCTTCCCAAATATCTTCCAAAACCCCTAGCACTGTGTTTAACCCTCCAGGGAATCTATGGGGGCCAAATGGGTACAACAGCCCCCAGGGCAGGGCCTGCAGCTGTCTTTGTACTTCTCGTTAAAATTGGGTGCATACTAAGTTCACAACTTACTTGAAAACCTTTTGCTGGCCTTTGTGGCCAAGCAAAATATGCTTTATGAAGCGTGAATATGAAGCATGAATAAATAAATCATTCTGTTGGCCCATCAAGGCAAAGTAATTCTTTAACATTTGTGAGAAGTGTCCATATCTCACCAAGATGTGTTAGATAAATGAAGACTATTGAGGGCAGGTGACTGTAGAAGATTATGGGTTCATCAAAGGTCTAGAGCTGGGAGAACCTCAAAGGACATCTAATGTGATGATCCCCTTATTTTACAGATATAATTCACTTACTTTTAAAAAAAATTAGTTACTTTCGATTAACAAACATTTATTTTTCTCTCCCTTCCACTCCCACTCTCATATGAGAAGAAAAAGAAAGCTCGTGTAACAAATATGCATAATCAAGTAAAGCAAATTCCCACATTGGCCATACATATCCAAAAATATCTCATCCTGCATCTTGAAACCATCAGCTCTCTGGCAGGAGGTGGGTAGCAGGCTTCATCTTCAGCCATCGAAACTCTCATTGCATTGATCTGAGCTCTTATGCGACTTGGATTTAGTTCTTCCTGGAATAGACCTATCTTCAGTCAGTCCACTAACATTTATTAAGCACCTACTATTTGCCAGACACTGTATAAAGTGCAAGAGATACAAATAAAAGCAAAAAGTAGTCTCTACTTATTTCCAAAGGACTCATGATGAAAAATGCTATCTGCCTCTAGAGAAAGAACTGATGATCTCTGAGGGCAAATTAAAGTGTAGTTTTCTTACTTTATTTTTCTTACTTTTCTGGTGATGTAGCTAATATGGAAATATGTTTTGTATGGTTTCACATGTATAATTGATATATTACTTTTCTTCTCAATGATGAGGGAAGGGAAGAAGGGGGGATGAGAATTTGGAACTCAAAATTTTAAGAAAACACATGGAAAATAAATAAATAATTGTTTGTTTGTTTTAAGAAAAAAAAATTGTCTGTACTCTCATAGACCCCAAATTCTCATTACCTTGGCTGGTGGGAGCAGCAAATTAACTGTTTGCTCATTGAGTGACCTAGCTTTGCCTTTCAAATTTAGGCAATGTTAGAATATTTGGCCTCTCAATCCAAATTTTCTCCCCTGAGCTGAAAAGAATCTATCTAGGGGTGTGGTAGTAAATGTTTAACAACCAGCTCTCTAGGGGGAAAAAACGTAATCACAATATGCTTTTGAGTTGCATCTGCATCATTAACATTTTCTCCATCTCTTTCTTAAGTTTAGACAATCCACAAAATGATAACTCAAGCCCTGGTTTGCATCATTGTTCTGATTTCTAAAATGCAAATGCTTATATTGAAAGTTGAATAATTAAGAATCAGTTCAAGCTGGCTCTAACACACTCCTGGATTTGTCCTTTCTCTGACTCCATTGGCATGTTTTGTCTGTAGCAATCACATGTCATTTAATATACGCTGCTTGCCTCATATCCTAGTTATGAGTGTACCTGTTGGATCTCCTACTAGATTACAATCTTCTTCAGGGCGAGGACCATATCCTATGCTTCTTTCTATCTCCAACGTGTCTAGCATGGTTCCTTGCACGTAATTGGTGTATAATAAATATTTCTGTTAAATGAATGAATAAACTGCAGGTGACATATTAAAGCATTCTGGATAGTGTGTTTCATGATGTAAAATGCTAGGGTTAATGGTATCTCAGACTTGCAGCTTTGTTCAGTCATGTTCAACTCTTTGTGACCCTGTGGACCACAACACACCAGTACTGTCAATGGGGTTTTCTTGGCAAGGATAGTGGAGTGGTTTGCCATTTCCTTCTCTACTTCATTTTACAGTTGAGGAAACTGAGGCAAACAGGGTGAAGTGACTTGCCCACAGTCAGTCACACAGCTAGTAAGTGACTGAGGCTGGATTTGAACTCTTGAAGAGTTTTCCTGACTCCAGGCCCAGTGCTCTATCCACTGAACCACCTAGCTGCCTCATGTAAAACTTAGGATAAGGAAAAACCAATATATCTGAGTCTGCTAAGTAATCATACTCAGAAATAATTTAGGATTGCTGGACTAGAGGCCTTGCTCATCAAGACTGATGCGAATGTCTCTGGCTTTCTCTCCTTCCTGGAACATTCTCTCGCCCCCTCTCTGACTACTAAACTCCCTGGCTTCCTTTAAGTCCCAGCTAAAACCCTATATTCTAGAGGAAACCTTCCCTAACCCCTCTTTGCAGTGCCTTCCCTCTTTTAATTATTTCCCTTTTATCTTATGAATAGCTTGCTTTGTATATATTTGTCAGCATGTTGCCTCCCCCTGCTCCTCAAGGACAGGGACTGTCTTTTATCTCTTTCTGTATCCCTAGCACTTAGCACAGTGCCTGGCACGTAGTAGGCACTTAATAAATGCTTATGGATTGATTATTGATTGATTGATTACTGTTTCCCTTCAGTTCTGGCGTTATGGAGATTGGGTGGATGTGGTTATTGATGACTGTCTCCCAACCTATAACAACCAGCTGGTCTTCACCAAATCCAACCATCGCAATGAGTTTTGGAGTGCTCTGTTGGAGAAGGCCTATGCAAAGTAAGATGATGCTCTTGAATTCCCAGTAGTGGAGAGAAAAGACAAGTTGTAGAAACTGTCTCAGGCCCCATGACACAGGCGCGTGTGTGGAGGGGGTGGGGGGAAGGAGAGAAAAAAAGAGAGGGAAAAAGGGAAGAAGAGAGAGAGGGAAGTAAGGAGAGGGAGGGAGAGAGAGAAAGAGGAAGGAAGAGAGGGAGAGGGAGAGGGAAGGAAGGGACAGAGGGAGACAGAGAAAGAGAGAGAGAGAGAGAGAAAGAGACTGCAAATATGAAACCGATTCAGAGAGGGCCATCTCATAAGTGAAGTCAAGTCTCAAAGAAAGAAGAAAAAAAATATACATCCCTCCATCTGTGCAAAGGTGGGGGAGTATGGATATGAAACACTGCATATGTGATCAGACTTGGTTGGTGTTTTGTTTTGCTGAACTTTTTTTTTTCCTTAAAATATTTCTTTCATTTTATTTTTTTACAACTCTCTGAGATGGGGAGGGTAGAAGAATATAATTAGAAATGAAGGTGTTTTAAAAACAAAAGCTATCAATAAAAATTTAAAGAACAAAAAAATTAATAAAAATAATAAAAAGTAAAGTCAATCTAGTCTACAAGTAGCTCTAAGTTTTAACAGTTCTCTAATAGAAATAAAGACTTTACCTACTTACCCTGTGGATTCCCATTGCAACTTCATTCCAGCTCTACAGTGATCCAGGAATGGACCAACGATAACTATCTCTGGAGCTTAGAAGCCAGAGGCCCACCTGGTTCCAGCTTATGAACCAAGAGCTGGTTACCTCAGGTGAACCATGTGGGGCACATTGCCCTAGAACTTTGTGATTTGAAATTTTCTCTCATATTTTCCCCAAGGCTCCACGGCTCTTATGAAGCCCTGAAAGGTGGTAACACCACAGAAGCTATGGAGGACTTCACCGGAGGAGTGACAGAATTCTTTGATATCAAGGACGCTCCCAGAGACATGTACAAGATCATGAAGAAAGCTATTGAGAGGGGTTCCCTCATGGGCTGCTCCATTGATGTGAGTCCAGGGTGTCCAGGTGGGCAAAGTATCATCCAAGTCCATTGGTAAATGGATAGTCACATGATGCCTTCCTTAGTGATAGCATTATCAATTCAGAAAACACTTAACAAGGGAAGCAGGAACTATCCCTATTCTTTGGAGAGCCAAAGGGCTCCTTATGACAGGGTCTTTCTGTTTATAGGTTAGACTCTGGGTAGGTACCCTCCTAACCTTGAGTTTGAGCAGGCTTTAGCCCAGACAACTAAGAATTCTCTAGATCTGAGTCTTTCATGACAATTTTCCACAATGCTTACTTGCAGAGGGGATAAAGTTGACCTCTTAATGAGAAGCTCTCATGTTCTCATGGCCATATGGGCCTGTATCTCCTGGGGGGAAAAAGCTTCCAGGTCACTAGTTTGAGACTTTATTGTGGTGCCTCATACTATTACCTATACCCAGGCTGTAGCCGGGGGTGGAGAATCTGAGGCCTTGAGGCCACATGTGGCCCTCCAGATCCTCAAGTACAGCCCTTTAGGCCTCAAGGCCATAGGTTCCCCACTCCTGCTGTAGACCAATCTATTTCTCAATTACCTACCAGTGCTCAGGGATGGGGCAAATAGAGAGAAAGTGGGGGGAGGAGGGGTCAGTGAAAAGACAGAATACTACTCTGTCTAAAGCCAGGGTCCTCAATCTTCTTTTGTGTGGACCCTTTGGCAGTGTGGTGAAGCTTATGGTCTTCCTCTCAGAATAATGTTTTTAAATGCATAAAATACATAGGATTACAAAGAAAGCCAGTTATACTGACATAGTTACCAAAATAGAAAAAAATCTGTGACATTATTATATCTAATAGTAGGTCTAATAATGTCAATAATTTCAAAGTAATGATGAGCATAAATGATATTTAGAGATATCTGCAATAACTATAATGTGATATGAAAATATACGTGATTTTTATTGGTGACAAAGTCATCAGTACTGCCAACACTACCATAGTATATTGCCTACATTCAATTGAAGGGAATGTCAAATTTCAGTTAGAGGTTAGTGAAAATAAGATTTTTCCATTCAAGTTCCTAGACCCCTTGAAATCAAAGTCCATGGACTTTGGGACCCCAAGTTAAGAACACCTGGTCTAGAGGGAAGGCAGTGACACCTTTCTACGTGTGGTATGCTCAAGACTTATTGGTTTCACCCGCCCTTGCCTTTGGAACAAAGGAATAGAGTTAGACTCCCATTGCTTCCACAACTCCTAAATGTGTCCCTCTTGTTACTCTTCACAGTCGCCATCTTTCTCTGAGCCAAGCATCTTGGCTTCTCTCTGGGATCCACCTAAATGGGGTCAATTCAAATCTAGCATCCTGAGTTTGGTGGGACCAACAAATACAAGATACCCCATCCCAGACCAAGGAAAAACAGGATTTTTCTCTCTACAGTTTCTTCCCTTGTTGCTTTATTTCTGTCTTTTTCTTTTTTTACTCTCAGAGCTTGTATTTTCCTCTTTTTCCTTGGCTAAGTTTGCCTCTGTCCTTAATGAATTTCTTGTTTCCTTTCTGCCCTTTCTTTCCTTCTCCCCCCCCAATATTCTTTCACTGTCCTATCTCCCTCCTTTCCCCGTCCTCAGGATGGTACAAACATGACCTATGGGACTTCTCCTGGTTGTAGCATGGGGGAGCTGATTGCTAGGATGGTGAAGAACTTGGATAACTCCCAACTGAGGGGTTCAGACCTAGATCCGAGAGGCACAGACGACAGGCCAACCCGGGTTTGTATGCCTGAGTCGGCGAGTAATCCCTTCCCCCTTGACAGTACTGACCGATTCTCACGTCTACATGATCGCTCGTGATCTCCCGGCTGCCTGCCTTTCCTCTGTGTGGTGCTAAACGTGCGCACAACTGCCTGGAGGCTCTGAAACAGACTTAACCAGGAATGCCTCAGCTGGGGAGTCAGGATACCTGAGTACTAATTCCAACTGCCCATACATAACTAACGAGCTATTTGTGTGGCTTTGGGCAGGTCATTTCCTGTCTTTGAATCGAAGGGGGAGAAAAGCTTCCAGGTCACTAGTCTGGGACTTCATGGTAGTGCTTCACACTATTATCTATACCGGGTTATAGATCTTTCTACTTCTCAATTACCTACCGGCACTCAGGGACAGGGCAAATAGAGAGAAAGTAGGATGATCAGTGAAAAGGCAGAATACTCCTCTATCTAGATCAAGGGTGTCATGGACCTTCTTGGCAATTTGGTGAAGCCTGTGGCTTCCTTTTCAGTCACATTTTTGAATGTATAAAATAAAATACATAGAATTACTGAGAAAAGCAATTATATCGAAATTTGTAATATACGAATTTGTAATTTGTAATATACAAAATTTGTAATATACGAATATAACTGGTCTAATAGCTTCAGTCATTTCAAAGTAACGATAAGCATAAGGTTCTTCTTTTCTTCAGTAAAAGGGTGGGCTTAGATGGAAAGACATGATGACAGAACGGAAAGTGCTACATTGGAGACAGGGAGATACGGGTTCAAATCTTACACTGACACTTACTAAACTGTGTGACCTTGGGGTAAGTTACTTGCTGTTTTTGGGCCTATGGTTCCCCCTTCCTATAGTAAAGAGATGAGACTAGAAGAGGGGTGGGATTAGATGGAAAGGAAGCATGATAGAATGGAAAGAATGCCAGAGTTCAAGGGTTGAGTAATACTTCTGGCAAGTCATTCAACCCCTCTGATACTGTTCCCTTATAAACTGGGATAGGAATTACTTATTTGACAAGTTTGTAGTGAAGATATTTTTTATGTATTTTTATATTATATTATATATTTTATATATTCAAATATTTTTGAATATTCAAATATATTATATTATTATTCTCACCATCATTTCTATCCCTTCTTGGAATATTCATGATTCTACGATATTCCGAGGCTACGAAGAAAGGCAGTGTATTGTTCCTCCCACCAGAAGAGTTTTTCTTTGGTGATCCTTTCAGATAGGGAGGCCTGGAAAGTTTTTACATTATCGATAAAATAGGCAGAATTACAAAAGAGACGTTTTAATCTTTCCCCCCTCACAGTGGGAAGGTGATGGATTATAGATTTAGAGCTGGAAGAGACCTCAGAGGCAACCTGGTCCAACACTCTCACTTTACAGATGTAGAAACTGAAACCCAGGGAGGTTAGAATCAGGAGAATCCAGATTGTTGTTCTGTCTATAAATAGTGCCTAACTTCCAAGCTCTGCTCAGGGCTTACCGGTAAAACTTCTTTCCACTTCTGAACAACTAAATTCCATTTGCTTCAACCTCTCACAGATGTGCCTCCTTTCTCATCCCATGAATTAGAGAATGAAAAAGGAGAGAACCTCTTGTCTTATCCATCCCTCGCAGGGATCCAGGTCTTAGTATTTGTCTGTGGCCTGTGGGGACAGGAGCCATGAAAAGTCTAAATCGGGAGGGCTCAGGTTCCAGAAATCCTACGCTGGTCCATATTTCTTCTGCTGGCATTGCTAGAAGGGCCAGAGTCCAGCCCTGGGAGAGGGCCTTGGGACCAAAGAATCATAGATCTAGGTCTGAAAGGCATCTCAGGAGTCATCTAATCCAGCCCCTTCATTTCACAGATGAGGAAACTGAGGCTCAGAGAAGTGAAGTGATTTTCCCTAGATCGCACAGATAGTAAGAATTTAAACCAAGTTCTCCGACTTTAGAGTCAGGCGTTTTCCCACCATAGTAAAGTAGCCGCGTTATCAGGTGCCTAAGAAGGAGCTGGTAGAGACCAGCAGTGACTCCCTGGATTTCTGTATTGCCTGTTCGCTGACTGTTTCGTGCTCCTGTCAATTCTCCTTTATGTAACAAATGTAGCAAACGGGAGTGGCTGTCCCAGAAGCACCAGGCCTGGCTCTTCCCCAGCATGACTGTGCATGAAATCATCCCCTCCTTTGGAAGGTCTCTGGGGATTCTTCCAACATTTCTTGGATCTAAGAGATCTAACAGGGTTGGAATGGTGACAAAGTCAGAATGGGGGGGAGGGGAAAGGCACAGGGAAGGAAAGCAGCGCTTAGGCTGTTCTTTTTATAATTACCCAGGAGTGGTAAACCTGAATGAGCTGCCCTGGGACTGGGGAAGGAGGAACCAAGCCCCAGGACCACTATCATTCTTCCTTTCTGATGGACAGTTACAATCACAAAATCTCAAAGTGGTTGAGGACCTCAGACACAATGTAGTCCAGCCCATACATGAACAATAATACCCACTACCACAGCCCAGACAAGCAAGTTTTCTTCCTTTGCTTAGCACCCAGTAGGCATTTAATAAACGCTTATTGACTGACTGGCTGTGCTTGAAGATTGTTAGTGAGGGAGAACCCCCCTCTCTCGAGGCAGCCCATTCCATCCTAAATAAAATAAATAAACCTATGATCTCATTGGTGTAGGGAATTCCCAGTGAGGAAACCCTCTCTGCCAGTGCAGCTCAGCACCTCCTGTGTGCCTTAGTCTTAGAGTATGGTTTGAGGGCCTGGGAGGTTCAGTGACTGGCCAAGGGTTCCATAAACCCAAGACTTTCTAACTTCTAGGCCAGCTCTCTATCCCTAACACCACACTGGTATTTCCTTTTTTTTTTTTTTCCACCAAGTATCTTTCAACTTCCTTCTATTGCTCCTGGTCTGTCCTGTGGATTCTAGGGTGTCTAAGGTGAGCTCAGGGGTTTAAGGAGCATCATATTTCTTGAATTCCCATAAAAGGTCTGACAGAGATTGTTGCTAAACAGACCTCTAGACTCCTCCCATCACACCTACACATACACACACACACACCCATACTTTACAAATTCCCTTATTGAGAGGAGCTCTCCATTGATTTGAACAGAACATCAGCACCCAGGCATTTTTCAAGACTCTCACCCTTCAGTCCTGGAGCTGCTTTCCGGCAGGGGCAGGGGCTAAATCTTTCTGACATCCTAAAAGCACCAACTGAAGTTGCTTTAAGGGGTGGGTACACACCCAGGACTATACACATGAGCAAAAGATTTAGGGATAGGTGGAGTATCCTTAGTTCCTCTCCCTTCTAAACCCTGAAAATGAGCCTGAATTAACTTTGCCCCCACATAACAAAAGCTGCTGCTCCCCCCTCAGACCACCTACTCATTACCTGGCATAGCTGAGTCTGTGGTGGTCTGTTAAGGCACTATTCTCATCTCCTTGTAAGTCTTGAACCCAAACCTATTTCTTAACACTTTTGTGATACATCCACATCTTCAAACAAGGACCAGGGCAGGATTTGAACTTGGGTCTACCTGATTTCAAAGCCAGCATTCTATTTGCCACACCAACTAGTTGCAAGGGTCTGTGTGTCCTGTGCCAGAACTCTCAATAAGAAGTTTAATTTAAGTCTTTACTTAATTTTCCCTTTTTGGAAAAGAGGAAGTATTTAGACAGATCAGGGAAATGGTATGATATGTAACAGAATGCTGGTTTCAAAGTCAGAAAGACTTGGGTTCAAGTCCCACTTCTGACATATCCTGGTTGTGTGACCTTGGTTAGGTCACAACCTCTCAGTGCCTTAGGCAACTAAAATGTCATTAGCAGAGAAGGGTATCAACCTGCATTGGCAGAGGGAGTTTCCAGTAAAATCCCAAGTCCAGTCCCTTTCCTTATCCCCTGTCCCTGTGTAGGCAGAAAAGAGAAGTCTCAGGTTAGAGACCCTGGAAGAATCGGAATGGATAAAGAGTAATAGTGCCCGGATGCCCGGGAGGGCTCTGCAGTGTCCCCTCAGCAAGAGTTCCAAGATAGCAGACCTCAAGTCCACTTGGTGGGCTTGTGGTTCCCTATTGGGAGGGAGGCTGCCAGGTGAGAAAAGATGTGAGAACTTCCTGGACAATTCCTGGTCTTGCCACTGACAACCTGTCTGGTTTGGGCTCCACAGACAATTGTTCCGGTGCAGTATGAGACACGAATGGCCTGTGGGCTGGTCAAAGGTCATGCATATTCAGTCACTGGACTAGAGGAGGTAAGCATATAATAATAATAACAACAACAACTAACACATAGTACGATAAGATTTGCAAAAACATTTTACGTGCTCTTTCATCTGATCTTTCCAACAATCCTATGAGGTAGATGATATTATTATCGCCATTTTACAGATGAGGAAATTGAGCTTGAAAAAGGACTTGCCAAAAGGACCCACATGTACAAAAATATTTACAGCAGTTCTTTCTATGGTGTCAAAGAATTGGAAATTGAGGAGATGTCCATCAATTGGGGAATGGCTGAGCAAGTTGTGGTATATGAATGTAATGGAATACTATTGTGCTATCAGAAATGATGAGCTGCCAGACTTCAGAAAAACCTGGAAACACTTGTATGGTCTGATGCTGAGTGAAGTGAGCAGAACCAGGAGAACATTGTACACAGTAACAGCCATGTTGTGCAATGACTAATTTTGATAAACTTAACTCTTCTCAGCAATGCAAGGATCTAAGATATTTCCAAAAGTGTCATGATGGAAAATGCTATCCACATCCAAAGAAAGAACTATGGAGTTTGAATGTAGATCGAAGCATACTGTTTGCTCTTCTTTTTTTCCTTTTTTTTTTTTTTCGTTAGGCAGTGGGGTTAAGTGACTTGCCCAGGATCACACAGCTAGTAGGTGTTATGTGTCTGAGGCCGAATTTGAACTCAGGTCCTCCTGAATCCAGGACCAGTGCTCTATCCACTGCGCCACCTAGCTGCCCCCTCTTTTTTTTCTTCTGTTTTGTTTTGTTTCCTCTTTCTAGTGGTTTCTCCTATTGGTTCTAATTCTTCCTTACAACATGATTAACATGAAAATATGCTTAATAGGAATATATATGTAGAGCCTATATCAAATTGCACACAATCTAAGGGAGAAAGGTGAGGAGGGAAGGGAAGAAAAATTTAAAACTCAAAAGCTTATGGAAGTAATTGTTGAAAACTAAAAATAAATTAATAAACTTTAAAAAAAAGAAAAGAAAAGGGACTCGCCTAGAATCATATAACTATTAAGTATTTGAGACAGGATTTAGGATTTGAACTCAGGTCTTACTGACTCCCAGTCTACCACTCTATCTACTGTTCTTGTTAGCTAGTGGCCAGGCTGAGCTACAGTCAGAATTGGAAAAAAAAAACAAAACCTGGGGTTGGGCAGATAGCTTGAGTCACCCTCCTAACCAAGATGTGAGATGAAAAGTCAGGACCAGATCTGCCTGTGCCTAGATATCTGCAGAGGGTGCTCAACTGGCATGACAATGAGGTCCCCTAGGGAGCAGAGGCATAGACAACTACTTCATGGAAGGGGAATCCAGCCTAGAAAGTTCACTTATAAATGTTTTACTGAATTTTATTTTATTTTTGAATTAACAAGCATTTATTTTCTCTCTCTGCCACTTCCCCAACTGAAAAGAAAAAGGGAAAAAAAAAACCTCGTAACAAATATACCTACTTAAGCAAAACAAATTCCTAAAGCATTAAAATTCAACATGTGAATGTGGCATTCTGCATCTTGAATCTATCACTTCTTTGTCAAGAAGTGGGTAGCATAATTCATCATCAGTCCTTTGGAGACATGCTTGGTCCTTTACACTTATCAAAGTTTTTTTTTTTGTTTTGTTCGTTTGTTTTTGTGTTTGTTTTTTGGAGGCAATGTGGATTAAATGAGTTGCCCAGGGTCACACAGCTAGTCAAGCGCCTGAGACTAGATTTGAACTCAAGTCTTCCTGACTCCAGGGCCGGTGTTCTATCCACTGTGCCCCCTCGCTGCCCCTTACTAATCAGTAATTTGTCTTTATAGTGTCATTATTCTTGTTCTTGTGTAAATCGTTCTCCTTGTTCTGCTCACTTTACTCTGCATCAGTTCATAAAGTCTTACCAGGCTTCTCAGAAACTATCCACTCAATCATTTCTTCCAGTATAATAATATCGCATTACATTCATATGCTACAATTTGTTTAATCAGTTCCCAGTTGATGGGCAACACCTTAGTCTCTAGTTCTTTGTCACTGCAAAAAGAGCACGTGTATATGTCTGTGTCCTTTTCCTCTTTGTTCTCTTTGGGAGAAAAGTCTTAGAAAATTATTTTCTAAGATACCACCCTTTACTCCTCTGCAGAGGTGAGGGATCCACAGGCATGGAACATTGCATATATTGTCAGATTCCTTTCAATGTATGAATTGCTTTTACTGGCTTTTTTCCTCTTCTTTTTGGTTCTCTAGGATGGGGAGAGATAAAGTGGGAAAATTAGGCAAGATGGAAGAAAAGCTATCAATAAAAATTTATTTAGAAAAAAGAAATTATAGGGGAAGATTACTTTGTAGAGGATTGAGAAATGGTGACCTTCCTTCCCGCACTCCCAAAGCTCCAGTGCTCTGTCAGCCTCTTTCCAAACCCTAAGCCCTGAAGGAAAGTAATAATAATATCACATATTTATATACACTTTCCTGTTTGGTCCCTATGACTATTCTGTGTACAAGCATTATCACACCCCATCTTATAGATGAGGAAACAGGTTTAGAGAGATTAAGGGACTTGTCTGAGACTTCATAATTCACAAATAGAAGAGCTGGGCCCAAACCAGATCCCCTAATGCCAGATGCTGTCTCCTTTCCAATGTGTTACCTCAAAGGTTGATGACTCAGTCACGTCAATGTTAAGTTTTTGCCTAGGGCACCTTAGGCAAGTACCATCCAGACTTTGGGGAGGAGCAGAAGGGTAAACTTCTTTCCAAACAGATGAGCTTGTTTCTTGCCTAGTGCCTGGTAGCTCTTGGGTATTTCATAAATGACTGTTCATTGATTGATTGTTTTTTGCCCAAGACGACATTTAAAGGAGAGAAGGTGAAGTTGGTGCGGCTGAGGAATCCCTGGGGTCAGGTGGAATGGAATGGCTCCTGGAGTGACGGGTAGGTGGGCAGAGACTCCCAGAAGGGAGACTCCAGGGGCAGCAGGGTTGGGGTGGGAGTTAGGGGTGGGGGAATGATGAACAAGCATTTATTGAGTGCCTCCTATGTGCCAAGCACTGAGCTAGGTGCTGGGGCTACTAAAATGAAAAGTCTTTTTCAGTCAATCAATAAATATTTATTAAATGCCTACTATGTGCCAGGCACTGTGCTAAGTTCAGGGGCTACAATGACTAACATGGAACAGTCCCTTTCAGTCAGTCAGCAAATATTTTTAAAGCACCTACTGTGTGCCAGGCACTGTACTAGGTACTGGGGCTACTAAAATGAAAGTCTTTTTCAGTCAATCAATAAATATTTATTAAACACCTACTATGTGCCAAGCACTGCGGTAAACACTTTACAAATATAATTACATTTGATTCTCACAAGAACCCTGGGAGGGAGGTGCTATTATTATCCCTATTTTACAGATGAGAAAACTGAGACAGACAATGGTGAAGTGACTTACTCGGGGTCACACAGCTAGTAAAAGACTGAGGCTGGATTTGAACTCAGGTCTTCCTGACCCCAGGTCCCACCCAGCTGCTCCATGTGGTGGACCACTTGGAATTGTAGCAGCAAGGATTCTTGTTCAAGAATGCGTTCAACTAGATGCCGTCCACCTTTGAGATTCCATGGTGGGAGGGACTTGGGGCAGCTTGGCCACTTCTGGACCCTAGTTGGCTCTAGGCAGGTTGCATTTGCTGGGATGCAGCGGTACTATCTCTGAGGTTGTCGTCCTTCTTATGTGATACCAAATGTCGCTCTCCAGCTGGAAGAACTGGGTCCTGATTGACAAGGCAGAGAAATCTCGTTTGCAGCACCAGGTGACCGAGGACGGAGAATTCTGGTGAGTCTAGGACCCACAAGGCCAGAGCCCTCAGACAGAACCCAGAAGAAGAGCCTCAGGTCTCAAGCCAGTGGCAAAAACCACCGGCAGCGGGAACCTCAGTTTCTCCAAAACTTTTGGCTCTCAGTCCGTCTGGGCCCCTCCACCATATTTTCTTCAAAGCCAAGGGACAGGACTGACTAATCACTGAGTCCCACATTGTTTTCAGAACACCAGTGATAGTTCCACCAATTTCTGTACTCCCTGGGCTGTAGACAGAGCTGGGATGACCTCCTCAAGCCCATTGCTACTCTCTTAGATACAGAGGGTGTGTTTGTATGCAATGATGTTGGAGGGAAAGAGTGCATTCAGATGATGATTTGGGGTGAATATTACTCACTCCAGCACTTACGGTATTCTCCTGGGCAAGATTTCCAGTTCATGATTAATTTGTGTTTTCTTGCTAAAGATACACTCAATCAAGTGAACGGAACCAGGAAAACATTGTACACAGTAACAGCAACATTGTGCAATTATCAAGTATGATTGACTTAGCTCTTCTCCGCAATACAATGATCCAAGATAATTCCAAAAGACTCATGATGGAAAATGCTATCAATATCCAGAGAAAGAACTATGGAGACTGAATGCAGATTGAAACACACAATATTCACTTTACTTTTTCCTACTTTTTTCCTTTTGTTCTGTTTCTTCTTTCACAACATGACTAATATGGAAATATGTTTTACATGATTGTACATATATAACCTATATCAAATTGCTTACTGTCTTAGGGAGGAGGGAAGGGAGGGAGGGAGAAAATTTGGACCTCAAAATTTTATTTTAAAAAATTAATGTCAAAAATTGTCTTTACATGTAATTGGAAAAAATAAAATACCATTTTTATAAAAGGTCCACTTACTTTAGAGCCTTGCCCTTCCATCAACCTCTCCTTCCTTACCTCCCCTTATAACCTTCCTTTCTCTACTCTCACCCTCTAAGGATGTCCTATGAAGATTTCATGTATCATTTCACAAAACTTGAGATCTGCAACCTCACAGCTGATGCCCTGGAATCTGACAAGCTCCAGAGCTGGACTGTGTCTGTGAATGAGGGCCGTTGGGTGCGAGGATGCTCTGCTGGAGGCTGCCGCAACTTTCCAGGTGAGAAAAGAAATTGTCGAGAGGACGGTTAGCTTCTCATGTGGGTCTGACTGTTAGCTCTTCCGGGGGTTTATGAGCATAGAGATCCTAGTTACTGATAGAAGTAGTTAACAGAATGGCACATTGTGGTACATGAATGCTGAAGAAACAATGACGATGAAGAATACTGAGAAATATAGGAAGATTTATATGAACTGATGCAAAGGAAAGTGAGTGGGCAGTTAGATGGTGCAGTGGATAAAGCAACCAGACCTGGAGTTAGGAAGACCTGAGTTCAAATCCAGTCTCAGACACTTAATAGCTGTGTGATGCTGGGCCAGTTACTTAACCCCAATTGCCTTAAAAAAAAAAAAAAGAAAAGAAAAAGCACTCTAGCTCTCAAGTCAGAGGACCTGGATTTAAATCCTGCCTTTGGTATTTACCACCTATGTGATCTTGGGTCAGTCAGTTAGCTGCCCTAGCCTTCAGTTTTCTCATCTGTAATATAAAGGGGTAGCTCCACACTGGACTTCCTTCTTCCCTTCTGTCCCCCTCCAAACCCTGCTCTACATTGAGATCTCCAAAGGATGTACCACCACCCTGCTCAGCGAGCAACCAGGTGACAAAGTGGATAGAGTGTTGGCTCTGGAGTCAAGAAGACTCCTCTTCCTGAGTTCAAATTTGGCCTCAGACACTTACAAGCTATGTGACCCTGGGCAAGTCACTTAACCCTGTTTGCCTCAGTTTCCTCATCTGTCAAATGATCTGGAGAAGGAAATGGCAAATCACTCCAGTATCTTTGTCAAGAAAACCCTAATGAGGTCATGAAGAGTTTGACAGGACTGAAAAACAACTAATGTTGAACTGTATCTACCCCATCAAGACAAGATGTATTGAGAGACAAAGTCGTGTAGCAGAAAGATCCCTGTAGGTGGAAGTCAGGTGAGTTGTTGTTTAGTTAATTAGTCATGTCTGACTCTTCATGGCCCCATTTGGGTTTTCTTGGCAAAGGTACTGGAGAGTTTTGCCATTTCCTTCTCCAGCTCATTTTACAGACAAGGAAACTGAGGTAAGCAGTGTTAAGTGACTTGCCCATGGTTACACAGCTAGTAAGTGTCTGAGACTGGATTTGAACTCAGGTCTTCCCAACTCCAGGCTTGGTGCTCTATCCACTGAGCCACCCAGCTGCCCCCAGGTGAGGCCTGGGTTCAAATTCTACTTTGCAACAATTGGTACATGAACATGGATGGGCAAATCACTTAATCTTTGTGAGCCTCAGTTTCCTCAGCTTTGAAAAGAGGATAATAATAACACAGGTTTCATGGGGTTATTGTGAGGATCAGAAAAGATAATGTATGGAAAGCACTTTGAAAACCTTAAATACAATTGGTCCCATCATCCAAGACCACTGATTGACTTTCTAGAAAACTTTCCAAGGTTCGGGTAAACCGAACTCTAGAGACTGGAAGCAAAATGTGGTGTCAGTATATGAGACAATATTAGAATATTCAGCTTCTCTTATTGTTGTTCTTGCCATTTATATTGTCAGCCATGTACACTGTTCTCCTGGTTCCAGTCACTTTCCTTTGCATTAGTTTATATGTCTTATACTTCTCAGTATTCTTCATTGTCATTATTTCTTACAGCATTCATGCACCACAATGTGCTGAGCCATTCCCCAATCAATAGGCATCTACTTTGTTTCCATGTCTTTGCTACTCCAAAAGGTGGAGAGTGCTTATTGTCAAGTTGTCTAAACCTTCCCCCTCCTCCCCTCCTCAATTTCCACATCTTGCTCTAAGTTCTTCCCTCTTGGGCCAATAACAATATCAACAATAGTAATAATAGCATTTATATAGTACTTGAAGGTTTACAAAGGACTTTACATCCATCTCATTTGATCCTCAAAAACCCGTTATCTCCATTTCACAGATGAGTAAACTGAGGCAGAACAGAGGTGTAGGGACTTTTACATAGTTACCAAGCATTTTAGACAGGATTCAAACTGAAGTCTTCCTGACTCCAAGTTCAGTTCTCTACCTACTATATCATCTAGCTGCCTCTACAGAATGAATCAAATCCTTTTTCCGTGTGACAGCCTCTCAGGTTGTTTAAGGCAACTCTTATCTGGCCTCAGTTACTTACTAGCTATATGGCCCTGTATAAATCATTTAATCTCTGTCTACCTCAGTTTCCTCATCTGTAAAATGGAGACAATAACAGCACCTACCTCCCAGGACTATTGTGAGGATAAAATGAGAATGTATGTAAAGTACTTTTTAACCTCGACCCTCAACCCCACATCTTCTCTTTAGGGTAAACAATTTCAGTTCCTTCAATTAATACTTATCTGTTATGATCTTGATGGGGAAAGGGAATGGACCAATCATTTGTTAAGTGCCTACTATGTGCCAGGAACTGTGCTAAATGTTTTACAAATATTATCTCACTTAATCCTCACAACAATCCATGGAGATAGGTGCTATTATTTCCCCATTTTACAGATGAGGAACCCTGAGGCAAACAGAGGTCAAGTGACTTGCCCAATTATGTAAGTGTCTGAAGTCACATTTGAGCTCAGGTCTTGCTAACTTCAGACCCAGTGTTCTGTCTACTCCACTACCTAGTGACCTGAGGTTCATAGGTTCCCAATGTGGGCAATACTGTACCCTGTGGGATGCTGGAACAATCTAGGGGGGACAGTAGTAGCCTCAGGTGTAATTGGGGGACATTGAATAAAAATAAGGCGGCTGTGGAAGCATAATGAAAGAAGAGAAAGAAGAAAATTTTGAAAAACCATTCGTACATGTTTCATCTGTTGTGTAACAGTTAAAGTTGTAGTGATTACATTATTTTCCAAATAAACACACAAAAGCAGTGGTCAAGTCTGCTGACAGGTTTTAACAAGCAAGTGTTGGCAGGTGAGAGGTTCTCACATTGTCAGGAAGTCCAGCATGCAGTGGCAGGAATATGTACATGTAATGACTTGTTTACAACATGATAATATTGCATCATCAAAATTTCAGTGCAGGAAAAACTTCATAAATTTACAACAAATTATTAAATTTAAGATGCGTCATTTTTTAAAAATATATTTTATATTTTTTTGAAATTATACGAAATTTTTTTTTAAAAAATCACTAAAGGGTTAAAGAAAGTAGATTTCTGGGGGGCACTGAATAATTTTTTTTTGAAAAGGGACTGGTAGGTAAATTTGGGAACCTCTGCTCTTCATCATCCTGGCTTTCCAGCTTTTCAATGTCCTTCTAAAAATGTGGTACCTGAAATATACTCTGATGGCATTAGTCTGTGGCAGTGCCCATGATCCTAGGCCACTGGACTGACTGACGTTCTAGGGTGGGAATGAATCCCTATTTACAACGAGGCAACTGATGTTCATCAAAGTTAAATCACTTATATAAGGTCATATAAAGAGTGTGTAGTGTACTCAAACCCAAGTTTCAAAGCTGAGTACTCTTTCCACTATCAATGGGCCATCATTGAGCCATAGGTATAAAACCATTTTAGTTGCTCTCCCTTAGATTTTGGCTTTCATAGTCAACCAAACAGAGGCTACACCCAACTGGGACCATACACCCTCATTGACAAGGTCTCGACTTCCACTGACTCATTCAGGTACATGGCAAGGTCTCTTGGCTATGGGTTGATATAATTCTGTTCTTACATTGACTGCTTTGCACAAAGGGGTATGAAAAAATACAGTGCATTGTAACCCAGCTAGGATATACTGATGAGGCATGAAAAAGACTTGACATATTGACTGGGAATCAGTAAGCCAGACTAGTAGCCAGGGCTGTTCCAACTTCAAGCAAGGACAGGCTACTTCTCAGCTGGAAAAATGCTGGAATGCCTTCCAGGGGTGGTCTTCCCCTACTTGGATCTCTCAGAGAGGGAGGGAACTCTGTAAGTGCCCTTGCCAAGACAGCCAAGCCTGCTTCGCTTCCCTGGACTTTTCCAAGATCATAGACTTTAACAAGTGTTTCCTTTGGGGGGGGGGGGGGAGACAGACACTTTTTGGACCAATCCTCAGTATCGCTTGAAGCTTCTGGAGGAAGATGATGACCCTGAAGATAGTGAAGTTGTCTGCAGCTTCCTGGTGGCCCTGATGCAAAAGAATAGGAGGAAGGATCGGAAACTAGGAGCCAACCTCTTCACCATTGGTTTTGCCATCTATGAGGTACTGGACCTGCCCACTCCCTAACTTTATTATTATCTTCAGCCCAGTGACCACTGCCTGGAATCACTTGTCCCTACCAGAGATTGGACTTTTAATGGCTTAATCCTTGGTTTAATCCTGGTTTCCAGAGGGATCCCTGTTTTCTTGCTCCCCAAGGGCCTATTCACAACCCTGAATACCTAAGCTGTTTCATTTAAAACAGGGCTTCTTATTTTTTTGTGTCACAAGACCCTTTGGCAGTCATATGGACCCCTTCTTAGAATAAGGTTTTTAAATGTATAAAATAAAATACAGAGAATTACAAAGGAAATCAGTTGTAATCAAATAGTTATGAAAATATGAAAACAAAACCAAAAACAATTTTATGACCCCAGATTAAGAAATTCTGATATAAAAGATTTTTAATGAATCGTGAAGGCCAAGGCGAGAAACCAGGGCTAGCTGATTGGTGTAGATATTTGTTTTCTTGCCCTGGTTACCATCTCCTGCTCACCAGTGTTTCTTTCCCAGATTGTTCTGATATGATGGAGCTTAAACATTTCTTTTTTCTGCTTTTTTTTAAGGTGCCAAAAGAGGTATGGAAGTGATGGCAGGAGCAGCCCAGTGCCATGTTATTGAGGGTGCAGAGAGGGCACAGATCTGTCTGTTGAGCCTTGAGAGCCTTCTGGTGGGGTTCGTTGCCAGGGAAGTAACAAGAGTTGCCCCTATCCACCTCATTCCTTCTTTAGTCTATATTCTTGTTGGTGTTTCCTGACACTTCTCCAGATATAGGCTAGCTTCTTGAACCTTTGACTATCAAAATGTCATTCTTTCTAGTCCTCTGGTGCCTTATGGATACTTAACCAAACTCCTCATCCCCCCAGCCCCAATATCTTCACTCCCATGAATGGGGATGGGGGAGGGGAGAGTGGAGGAAGGGAATTATTAAGTGCCTACTATGTGCCAGGCACTGTGCTAAGCACCTTACAAATATTATCTCATTTGATCCTCACACCAAGCCAGGGAGGCAGATGCTATTATTATTCCCATTTCACAGTTGAGGAAACTGAAGCAGACAGAGGTGAAGCGATTGGTCCAGCTAGTAAGTGTGTGAGGTCACATTTGAGCTCAGAACCAGGTCCAGAGCTCTATCCACTCCATGCACCTAGATGCCTCATTTAGGATAGAGTAGTGACATCCTTCACAATTCTCCCCTCCCCTTACCCTTTTCCATCCTCTCCAGTCTTTCCCATTCATGTGGGGCTCTCTTGGTCTGGGATGATCAATTTAGAACTGGAAAAGATCTCAGAGGCCATTCTAGTCGAACCTCTGTTTAATAGATGAGAAAACTGAAGATTCAGGGGTTAAGTGATTTACCCAAGGTCTCACGGGTATTGGAGATCATACTTGAACTCGGGTCCTCTAGTTGGAACAAGTGCTCCTCCCATTCTGTTCTGCCTCTTCCACCTTGTTCCTTCTTCCTCCTCTGCAGATGCATGGGAACAAACAGCACCTACAGAAGGATTTCTTCTTGTACAACGCCTCCAAAGCCCGTAGTAAAACCTACATCAACATGCGTGAAGTGTCCGAGCGCTTCCGCCTGCCCCCAAGCGAGTATGTCATCGTCCCCTCCACCTACGATCCGCACCAGGAGGGAGAATTCATCCTTCGCGTCTTCTCGGAAAAGAGGAACCTCTCTGAGTGAGTAGAGGCTTTTCCCAACCCGACTCTGGAAAACAAGTCCATTGCCATTTCCAGCTCTGTTTTCTTAGGGAAAAGAGTACACAGGAATTCTGAACTTCCAGGGTGAAATGTCGGGGAAGGTGGGCAAGGCACGGGTAGGGAGGACTGCATTCCTGAAGCCTTTCGATTGGGCATGCAAATGTCACCCCCACACTCCTTCCTTCCTAGGCTGGGTGGACCCCCCTCTTCCCAGCAGTACCATTTTCCCAGGCATCTGGTTGTCCCCAGTTGATATAGTTTAAAGGTATGGCAACATATACCCATATACTTGAACCCACAGATTATTTTCATGACCAAAAAAAAAAAGGTACAGCTCAATGAATTGAGCATGCAATTGGAAAAAAAAAACTATAAAAGCAACACATCAAAAATCCTCAAACTAAGCATCAGATCAGATATCCTGAAAATCAAAGAAGTGATTAACAAAACTGAATTTTTTTAAAAAATTGAATTGTAAATAAAAGTAGGAGTTAGTATTTTTTTTCTTTTTTAGACAATTGGGGTTAAGTGACTTGCCCAGGGTCCCACAGCTAGTAAGTGTCAACTGTTTGGTCTGAGGCTGGATTTGAACTCAGGTCCTTCTGACTTCAGAGCAGGAGCTCTAGCCACTGCACCACCTAGCTGCTCCAGGAATTAGTATTTTAAAAAACAGTAAAAAACAACTTGTGTGATTTTTTTTTTAAGAGGAAAATCAGATTCAGTATCAATAATATCATTCATCGGGGCAGCTAGGTTGCACAGTGGATAGAGCACCAGCCCTGAAGTCAGGAGTCTCTAACTTCAGATGTGGCTAAAGATACGTACTAGCTTTGACCTTGAGCAAATCACTTAATCCTGATTGCCTCCCCAAAATAGCAATAGTAATAATAATAATAATAATAATAATAATAATAATGTCATTCATCACTCTTACTAATACCTTTGTATATGTGTTTTCCTCACAGAGATGTAGAAAATACAATCGCTGTGAATCGCCCTGTGGTAAGTGTAGTCTCATAGGGCAGAATGACCTTTCCTAGTCTTAGTCATGGCTCTAAGGCCTGGTCCATGAGAGGAAATTGGGAGGTCAATAAGTAGAAAGCATTGGCTAGGAGGCAAAGCTCTTTCTTACTACTTTGGTCTGGAATTTTGGCAAGTAGATAACCCTGCAGTCTCGACTTCATTTTTACTCTCTAGAAGCCAGAGGAGAGAGGAAAGAGAGGGGCCTCAGACAGGAGGAGAAGTCTGGGCTATGAGTGAGAGTAGATGGGGCCACAGTTGTCTGGATAAAGGCTAATGTAAGTGGGTCTCCCCTCCACCTCTCCTCTGCCAAGATATTTGGTTCAAAGTCAAATCCACCAACTGAATCTGTATTTGGGTCTGTATGCTCCTCTTCTCTCCAAAATCCAAGGTCTAAAGAAGGGACTGCCATGGAGTTTAAGGACGAGAAACCAGAAATGAATCTTAGAATATTCTGTTCTCTGGGAGTCTCTTTTTCAGTCTCCCTTGTTTTTTAGCTTGTCATTTGGATTACAATCAATTGCTTGTTACTTTATCATCAGGGTCCTTAACTTTTGTATTTTATCCTCAAAAAACATTAGATGGTCAAAAACTTCCTTTAACGAAGTTATTTTTATTCTTTGATTTGCAAATCCTGCTTCTAATCAGGGATCAGCTGTGAGTGCCTGATAGAAATTACCTCAGTCAATAAAAATATAGTTAACTCTCAGATAACTAGAGTCCTGGTAACCCAAATTCTCTACTAATCAGCACTTTTGCACTTTGTTGATAAGGTGATAATTAACATTCATAATGCTCAGCATGAGGCATTGCAAGGTCCTAAAGTGTCTTTGAAAATGACACAGAAATATTAAGGATGCAGTGTGAAGACTAGAATGAATTTAGAATCAGAGACCCAAGTTTATATTCCAGTTCTGTCATTTACTACTTGTGCCTTAATCTTAATTTAGCCTCTCTGAGACTCAACCTCATCTGGAAAAAAAAAAATCAAAGTACCTGCCTCATAGGGTTACTGTAAGGATCAAAGGAAATGTTGTATGTAATGTGCTTCAGAGACCTCAAACCAGTATATAATGTGAGGTATTGTTATTAATACTACTTTCAGATTAATCTTTCTTAAATACTATTTTTATCATTTACTTCTTGCTCAAAAATCTTCCTCTAAAGTTTATGACAATTGTTCCTTAAAGTAATGGGACACTTTGTGGATAAACAGATCTTGATAGAATCCTAACTCTACTCTTTACTTCCTGTGTGACTTTGCGCTCTAAATCTATGATCCTAAATTATATTCAGTATAGTTGTAGTGTTTACATGTATTTAATTGCATTTTAAGTCTTTGAAAATTGGTAATCAGTGAAAGAAGTGATTATTAATAATCAATATTTTGGGCAGATTTTATAAAGTAAAAAGTTCCATCTTTTGAAGGACATTGCTGATAATGTGATTGGACTAATTTTCTTGTTCAAGACCCTACCCTGGTGGAGGCTATCCTTTGAATAGATAGCCCAAAGTTGTGGGTGGTCTGGTACAGAGATAGTTTCTCTGTCTAAGGATGACATGTTGTAACTTTCAGCCCTTCATTTTAATATAGCTCACCTTCCATTGTATTATCCAATCAGAGCTGATTGCCGCCCCAAGGAAACACCTACTCTTTGAAGCGAGTATGAACTGTGAGCCCACTGCCATGATTGTCTTTTGGTCTAAAAGAGAAGGCCAAATGACCATCCTTTTATTAATAACCTGCTTTATTAATAAAATGATTAAATTACCCAGAAACTATGTCTTCCAAACCTTTTTTTTAATCATCATATCAGCATACAATGCAGAAGGCAACTTTCGATTAAAGAAAATTGTATTAACCAGAAAAGCCAGGATTATTGGATCAAAGAATCATAAATTCAGAGCTGAAAAGGAACTCAGTGGGTATTTAGTTCATTTTACATATGAGGAAACTGAGACTCAAAGAGGTTAAGTAATTTGATCTTATATTCCCTAGCCATGGTCCATGATAGAGTTTACTATAAACTACACCACCACCCTCCTCTTCTTAGAAACCAAGAGAGAAGGTGTACTCTCACCTCTCTCCCTGTCTGCTTCCTTCCTTGGCTCTAGATGGCCCAATCTTTTGACTTTTATTATCTAGGCTGCTGAGTTGTGGCTTGACTTCATGAGTCACAGAAAAGAATGACAGGCAGGCCAGTGGGCTCTAGTGAACCTGCTTTTCACTTATTCTGCACTTGATGTTTCTTTCTTTGTACAGAAAAAGAAAAAGCACAAGGTGGGTGTAACAGGGCAGGGGCTACCGGGAGGTAGTAAAGCATGGAAGTGTGGTGTGATGGCTAGAGCAGGCGTCCCATCCCGTGCACACAGCCACAGCAGGGGTTTGGGCTGCTGCTGCTACTGATACTGACAATTCTTCCATGGCTGCTATCTACCCCTGAGGAGGCTTTACTAACTGTTTAGTTAATCGCCTAACATAATGCTTTGCCCTTAGTAGATGAGTGAATTAATGAATGGTTATTAGCCTCTCTGATCCTCTGTAAGCATTCAATCTGTGTTCTTTAACTGGAGTGGGAAGAACATGGGAGGATCTGGGTGCTATGTGAGCTCTCAGAGGGATGCTGCTTCCCTGCCTATGATGCCCAAAGAAGGACAGAGGAAGCCTACTGGTACCTAGCTGTCTGTGCCCCACTTCCGAGGAGGATGGAGAAAGAAAACTTTCACTCAGACAGCCAGAAAGGGGCAGGAGCCCTGAGGATGCAGGGCATTTGGGTGACTTTTAATTTATTTTTATTTATTTTCAATTACAAATTCTCTCCCTCCACCACCTACTGAGAAGACAAGAAGTATGATAATTTTAGTGACCTATTACAGGGAAAAGAAAAAAGGCTGCAGGTAAGGTTTCCCTCAGGAGACCATCACCATCTCCTTCCTCTAGGACAGGAGTTTTTAACTTTTTTTGTGTCATGGACTGCATTGGCAGTCTAGTAAAACCTATGAACCCCTTCTCAAAATAAGGTTTTTAAATCTAAAATAAAATAATCTTAATTTAAATAACTACATCTAGAAAGTCCAAAATTAAAAAAAAAAATAAGGCTCCAAAGAAAACTAATTATATTGAAATACAATTATCAACATATTTCCTCTAAGTTTAAAAATTTTTATAATAAACCTCAGGTTAAGTCCAAGATTTTACCAGGTGAAAAGCCAACACCCCACAACTGAACTTCCTGGGCGTGGCACCATATCCACTATAATCACCCCATTCCTAGAAGTGGCTATGTTCTAGACCTCTTCACAGGGGACAGGGCAAGACCCTTAAGCACTTCACAAACATTTATTTCACAACCTTTCTCCTCCTCCCACACCCACAGTAAAAGAAACACAAGTTGAATGAGTCACCAAGAGACTAGGGTGGAGCTTGATAGGTCAAGCGAATGTGAACATAGAGTGCACTAAGAGAGGTGTGGTAGTATGACAGGCAGCATGGTGTGCAGTAGATAAGAGAGGTGACCTTGGAGTCAGGAAGACTTGTGTTCAAGTCCCCACCTCTAATACATGCTGGCTGTGTGACCTTGGCAAGTCACTCACTTCTCACTGCCACTGAACAACTCTCCAAAATCATAATTTGCATTGGTAGAGGGAGTTTCATCATGGAGGTCTCAACACCAATAAAATCCTATGTCTGGCCCAAAAGAAAAAGAAAGAGTGAGCAGGGTATAGAATGAGACATGCGTTTGTTCCAACTTGTACTTCCTTAGATAACATCTAGAGCAGCAGTTCTCAAAGTTGTGGGTCTGTGGTCTCCAAGACTCTTGCAGGGGGTCCACCAGGTCAAAATTATTTTCGTAATAATACTGAGATATCATTTACCTATTAAAATACTCTTTCCTCTTCCAAATACATATCTGTTGGGGCAGCTAGGTGGCGCAGTGGATAAAGCACCGGCCCTGGATTCAGGAGGACCTGAGTTCAAATCCCGCCTCGGACACATAATACTTACTAGCTGTGTGACCCTGGGCAAGTCACTTAACCCCATTGCCTAACCAAAAAAAAAACCAAAACAAAACAAAAAACCAAAAACAAACAAACAAAAAAAAATATCTGTGTGAGGCCAGATTATCTTCCTATATATCAACCAGAAACATCACATAGATCAAATACAGAAGCAAATATGAGAATCCAATTGCCTTCTATAGAGCCAGAAATTAAAGAGATTTGCAAAAATATATAAAACAGGGGAAGCTAGGTGGCACAGTAGATAGAGCTCTGGCCTTGGAGTCAGGAGGACCTGAGTTCAAATCCAGCCTCAGACACATGACACTTACTAGCTGTATGACCCTGGGCAAGTCACTTAACCCCGATTGCCTCATCAAAAAGCAAAAAAAAAAAAAAATATATATATATATATATATATATATACACACAAAACAATGCCACCCACCCCTCTCACTAAGTTTTTTTAAATAGTTATTTTTCATTATGATATGTTATTTAGGTTAAACAGGTTTATAATTGTTATTTTAAATGAAATATTAGATATTTTAAAATTTTATCAGTTTTAATTTCCAATACAGTAATTATTGCTAGATATAACCCACATAAACAAAAGCACTTTGGGGTCCTCATTAATTTTTAAGAATGTAAAAGGGTCCTGAAACCAGAAGCTTGAGAACTACTGGTTTAGAGGATGCCATATGCAGTTCTGGATGCCACGTTTTAGGAAGGACATTAACTGGATCCTACCCAGAGAAGAGTTATCAGAGTGATGAGAGGACTGGAGATGGTGCCATAGGAAGATGTTCAGCTAGAAAAGGTTTGATAAGAAGGTCATAGCAGTCTTTGCATACTTAAAGGGGTGAGGAATTAGACCTGTGCCAAACCCCAGAAGGCAGAACTGGCAGCAATGAGGTAGAAGTTGTAGAAATAGATTTAAACCACAATGTTAAGGAAAACTTCCAGATTGGACTTGCCTTGAAAGTGGAATGGGCTTCCTCGAGAAGTGGTGGGATCTCCTTCACCAGAGTTCTTCAAGAAGAGGCTAGATGACCATTTATTAGGGATATAGAAAAGGTTTTTTTAGTCAAGTATAGGGAGGGCATGGTGGTAAATGTTTAACAACCAGCTCTCCAAGAAAAAAAATGTATGTGCTACACATTTCTAAGTTTAATCTACATTATTAAGATTTGCTCCATCATTTCCTTAAGTCGACAGACAATTAGCAAAATAAATCAAACTTTGATCTGTAGTTTGCGCCAATTTCTGAGTGGCAAATACATTGAAAATTTAACAGTTGCCCAGCTGGTACAAGCCAGCTTCATCACACCCCTGAGAATAGGTTGAACTGGATGAACCCTGGGGTTCCTCTCATCTCTGTAATCCATGAAATCAGAGTGAGTGATTTATTTGCCTAATGTCACATAGCTAGTTAGGGGCAGGGTGACTCCTGGTTCTGTGCTTTTCTGTTACATACTACCTTGCCTCTATTTACCTCTCAGCTTAATCTTTACTGCACTTAATCTTTGCATCACTGCTACTTGACAGGAGACAGCCTCTGCTTGCCTCAGGGGCAACCAATGAAGCCTGGGAATGAGTCTCCTTTCCAATTTCCCTCGAAGTCTCTAATGCTTGCTACTTTTCCTCTTTCCAACACCTTCCTTCCTTTCTCCAGCCCATCATCTTCGTGTCTGACAGAGCAAACAGCAACAAGGAGCTGGGTGTGGACCATGAGTCTGAGGAGGGCAAGGACAAAACAAGCTCTGATAAGCCAGAGAAACCAACTCAGGTTTCTGGAGCATGTGAAATAACGGGGGAGGCCTGTGTGGCGGCCAGGGCATGAAGTCTGGGTTTCTAGGGTGGGAATTCTCTTTTATAACCAACAGCTTTGGTTTGTAATATTGCATCTTTTTTTCCCCTTCATCATCCCTTTCCCAAGCCATCAGGGACATTGTTCTTGATTGAGGGGTAAAGGTTGATGAATTCCTGCTTTGGAACCAAGTGTCTAAAGGATTAGATATCAACACTAGACCCTGTCCAAGGGATGGGTATGAGGACAGCTTGGCATCCTCACTCATCAGTCAGACAGCAGAGTAAGAAACAAGGGAATCTGAGGAAGAAGGAAAGGGAATGTAGTTTTGGGTATCATATTCTACTTTTTAGAATCCCAAGAAAATGTGGAATTAAAGACAAGCAAAGGGAAACAAGAACATAGAGAATGGGTACTGCAGGCTGTGGTGGGGTAAGGGGTTGAAGGAGTCAGCTGTGTGCAGTTTTTCAGGGAGAGGAGGTATGGGAGAAGAAGTCCTGAAGGAAATTAAGGTCAGTTGCCCAGTGAGCTTTATCCTAATACAGCTGGGACTTCTAGACTGAAGGATGGAGGTGGCTGAGAGTCAGGGTGGCCTTGTCTCCTTTGTCCCTAATGAAGACTCAGGGACATGGGGCCTGGCATTGCCAAGAATGCTCCTCTTTGCCCAGATAGGGGTGGTTGAAGCCTGATGCAGCAAGTGAGGAACACAACATTTCTGCACATTTCTATAGCCAAAAGGGTCTCAGGTGGACCTTGTTGGCAGAGCTGCTTTTTCTCTATGGAATGATAGACCATAGATTTAGAGCTGAAAGGGACCTTAGAGGTTAGCCCCTTCGTAAGATGAGAAAACGGAGACCTGGAGAGATGAAGTCAGTCACACAGCCAGTGAGTGTCTGAGGCACAATTTAAATTCAGGTCTCTAGACTGTGCCAGAGTGGAGGGGAGAGGAAGGATTCTGTGTCTAATCTTTACTCCTAAACAGATGGAAGTGGGCCAGAAACTTTCTCCCTCCAGCACTGCCTAGAACCAGGAAGAGAAGGATGCTTGCAACCCTATGCAGTGAGGCTGTAAAAATCTCCCTTAGCCATCTAGCAAAGAATATTCCTAGCAAGGAAAGGGATGAGAAGGAAAAGAAGATATTAATGATGCTTGTTTGGGAGCCGGAGAGCCATATTGAACTGAGAGGCTCCGTGGGCCAGAAAGGGCCTGCCCTTCTTTCCCTTTCATGGCTTTCCACTAAGGGACCGGTCCACCTTCTCCATCTCTCTTTGACCTCTTCCTTTGTGCCCCTCCAGCCAACCCCAAGTAACACTGACCAGGAGAGCGAGGAGCAGGCGCAATTCAAGAACATTTTTCGACAGATTGCTGGTGATGTGAGTACCTTTCAAAGCAGCAACCCCTATAGAGGCTCCCACTCCTCTCTTCCTTCCCTTCTCCTTCCCAGGGATCTAGACGAGGACCTAGAACCTAGGTGAGAGACTGAAGGGGACATGGACCGTTGTCTTCTTGCCCACACCATAAAGATGACTCCTTTTCCTTCCCCTCCCTGACTAAGTTAGGCAGAATCTTAATGGGAACTTTGTAATGGCTTTATAATCAGAATCAAAAGCTCTCTGGCCTCACAAAGAATCTCCCAACATGCCCACCTTTCTCATCGTCATCAGGTGCTGCCTTAGATTAATGACATAATGATATATCATCACCCTTATTAAAAAACACACACACACACAACATACTTCCTATGAGTTCTAGGATATAAATATAAATTAATATACATACATAAATATACATACATATAAAATATGGATACACACACATATACATATATATACACACACATTAAGCAACTATCTATGGACTGGACTCAGTAGTGTACAAACACCTGTGATCTTGGGGCTTCCATTCATTCAACCAATCAGGTATTAAATACTTAGCATGAGCCACGCACTGTACTAGGCAATGAGGTTTGAAAGACAAAAATTAAACAGTTTATGCCCTTAAGGAGCTTACATTATATTGGGGGAGAGAATATGTACATAAATAGACATATAAAAAATAAATGGCTGGTAATTTTTATTACTAGGTGACGCAGTGGATAGAGCTCCAGGCCTGGGGTCAGGAAGATTCATCTTCCCGAGTTCAGTCTGGTCTCAGACACTCACCAGCTGTGTGACCCTGGGCAAGTTGCTTAACCCTGCTTGCCTCAGTTTCCTCATCTGTAAAATGAGATGGAGAAAGAAATGGCAAACCACTCCAGTGTCTTTGCCAAGAAAACCCCAAAAGGGGTTATGAAGAGTTGGAGAGGACTGAAAAATGACTAAACAACAATGAAATTTTTCTTAGCACTAGGAGTTTGGAGGAACAGGAAAAGCTTCAAGTCACTTGGGCAGAGTTCTGAAGAAAACATGGGATTCAGAAATACAGAAGTGGGGTGGGAGTACATTCCTACCTCATGGGGGACAGTAGGCACAATAGCACAGAGATTGGAGACAGAGTGTTGTGTATACAAATTAGCAAGCTGAGTTTGACCATACAATGCAGGAAGGGGAGTTATATATGACAAGTTAGAAAGGTAAGTTGAGGCCATATTGTAAAGGGCTTGAAAAGCTAAACAGAGAAGGCTATAGTTGATCCTTGAGGCAGCAGAATCATTGGAGTTTTTTTCCATTGTGAACGAACATTAACATGTTCATAGTCATATCTGGATCTCTTATTCCTCATCATGATAAGAGTGGAGCTCCAGCAAACACCAGGAATGATATCATACCGGATATTTTTTTACTGTGTTAAATAGCCAGACCATTACACATTTTTGTTATCTAATCCTAACTAGGCCCTCACTGCAACAAGACAATCCTATCCCCCTCCAACTAATTCTCTATCTCACTCACTATGGGGACTGTTCCAAACATTCCCTTCTCTCCTCAAACTCCCATGACACTCCTTCCTCCCACCCGCAAGCTGAGGACCTTGTTTCATACTTCACCAAAAAAGTTAGGACCACTTACTGAAAGGTCTTTCTTTTCTTTTTCTCATCTCCCATCCCTCTGATGGCATCTTCCACTAGCTCATCATTCAATCCAGTATCTGATGAAGAGGTGGTCCTTCTCCCTACCCAACCCAGCCCTTCTACATGTATCCTTAATCCCCTCCCCATCTCCTCCAGCAGATTGCCTCTCCTCTCATTCCCCCACTCACTCTCTAACTGTCAATCTCTTCCTAGCTACTGGTTCCTTCCCAGCTAACTACAAAAATGGCTAAGTCTCCATCTTTAAAAAACACTCATTGGATTCCACTACCTCTGCTAGCTATCGTACAATATCTCTCCTCCTTTTCTCAGCTAAACTCTTTTAAAAAGTCTTTTATATTTGTTGACTCTCCTTCCTCTCTTCCAAATTCTCTGCATTCTGGCTTCTAACCTCATCATTCAACTGAAGCTACTCTCTCCAAAGTAACCACTGATCCCTCAAAAGCTAAATGATGGACTTTTCTCAATCTTCATCCTTCTTGACCCTTCTGCTACATTTGACACTGTGGGTGACAGCCTTCTGGGAAGCTCTTTTCCTCTCTGGGTCTTTTTTGTGCTATTTTCCCTTGATGCTCCTGTGTGTCTGATGGCTCCTCAGGTTTCTTTGCCGGATGAGGGTCCCCAGGGCTCTGTCCTTGGCCCTCTTCTCATTTCTTTTTGATATTCTCTCACTTGAAGATCTCATCAGCTCCACTAATCTATCATCTCTATACAGATGAATCCCAGATCTACTTGGTCTTCCTCCTGAGCTCTAGTCCCATATCATCAACTCTATTGGACATTTCAAACTGGATGTCCCAGGAACATCTTTACCTCAACATATCCAAAACAGTAATCATTATCTTTTCTCCCACAAACCTCTTCAGAACTTCCCAATTTCTCTTACGGGCACCATCACCCTCTCAGTCATTCAGGTTCATAATTTCCGTATCATCCTTACCTATTCACTCTTTCTCACCCTATATAGCCAATCAGATGCCATATCTTACTGTATCTTTCTCTATAATATGTCTTGAATAGCTCTTCACCCTTCTGTCTACTCACACAGCAATATCTCCTCGATACAGGCCATCACCATCTCTCACCTAGGTAATTGCATTAGCCTCCTAATTAAGTCTCCCTGACTTAAGTAACTCCCCACTTTAATCCATCCTCCATACAACTGTCAAAGTGGTTTTCCTAAAGCATAGGTCTTATATCACCTCCATAGTCAATAAACTCCAGTGACTTCCTATTATTTCTAGGATTAAGTATAATTTTTTTTTTTGTTTAGCATTTAAAGCTTGTCACAACCTAGACCAGGGGTGGGGAACCTTCGACCTAGAGGGCCACAGGTTCCTCACCTATGAGTCCTAGACCCTTTCTACCTTGCCAATCTTCTTATAGATTACTAACCTCAACATACCCTATATTTTGCATGCATGTCAAATCCCCTATTAGCTTATAAATGCCGAGGGCAGGAATTGTCATTTTTATATCCCCTGTGCCCCTCACATTGCAAGTGCTTAAGAAATGTTTGTTATGTCAGTTGTTAATGGTCAAATAAACTGCTCAGACACTAGTTGTTTTAGAAGGTTAGAGGAAGGGGTCACTTCAGGCTGGAGTATCCAGTCTAATAAAGAATTGGAGTGAAGGCCTGAGGGGCCCTTTCCATTGATGTGTGCCTGGACTTCATGACACTAATCTTGGCTAAAAGTTTCTTACTTCCCTCTGGCTCCCAGATATGCTTTTTGGCAAAATAGCCAGACGAGACACAGTTGTACTTATTCCACATTTGTGTAGCTGGCCTAATAGGGCATCACTTCCATGACAACCCTCACTCCCTCCCTTTCTCCTTAGGACATGGAAATTTGTGCTGATGAACTCAAGAATGTTCTCAACTCAGTGGTGAACAAACGTGAGTGACTTGAATGCCTGGCTATTTAGAGCAACCAGTTTGTTGGAAGGAAAGGCTCTCTAGAACAGCAGAATTGAAGACCTCACCATCTTCACTTTTTGTCATCCCCCTCCCCAGATAAAGACTTGAAGATAGATGGATTCACTCTAGAGTCCTGCCGAAGCATGATTGCTCTGATGGATGTATCCTTTCATTCGCTTATCACCCCATTCTCCCATCTCCCCATCATGTGGCCCTATGGACCCAGGGAGTGGTGGGTGGGACCTAGCTAAACAAGGCCATACCCAAGTGTGTGCTCTTGTAAAAACCTAACACAGACCCTAGACAGAATTTGGATCTAGTGAAGTTGTTAGCTCTTGCAGTGCTTATCCAGGGGGAGCTTCTGGTTACTAGGTTACTACGCCCCTAAATCAAGCAAATGAGGATCATTTGAGGCTGCCTTTGTCGCAGAGTAGGTACCCACTACGGCTGCCCTATAGCCCCTGAGGCAGGGGTTTGGAGGGTGGGGAAGAAGACCAATGAACAAAGGAAGGTAATTGGCTCATTCCCCTCACCACGGAGGAGGTCATTGGAAGGGATGTTCTATGCAGAAATTTCTCTATAAGCCTCCCTCCTTTCTCTGCCCACCCTTGATGGCTGGGGGACTTGGTCATGTGGTCCTGACCATTTTGCTCCAGACAGATGGTTCTGGAAGGCTGAACCTGCAGGAATTCCACCACCTCTGGAAGAAGATTAAGAGCTGGCAGGTGGGAATGATAGAATGGTATGGGGTGGTGGGGGTGGGGGTGAGGTGGGTAGCATGAGTAAAGTGGCATAGGAGGGAACGAAACCTTACCTAGTCACACTAGTCTCCGGTCACCTGCTTTCTCATTCCATCAAGTTGAGCTACTCTGCATAACTATGCCAAATACCTAGAAAGTCTTCTTCCTCTCTCTATTCTTTACACTTGAACTTGAATGCCACGCCTTGCAACATGACTTCCCCAGTCAATCCTCAGGAGAGCTCCTTCTCCCCAGTTGGAAAGTAGTAAGCTTCTTGAGGGCAGGAACTGTTTGACTTTTGACTTTGTATCCTGATGCTTAGTACAGTAACTCTAGTACATAGTAAGAGCTTAATAAATACTTAAGATTGTTTTTTTCACTTAACAAAAATCTATTTTCACTCCCTCCCACTTTCTGCACCATTTGGGAGGGGAGTTGGGGAGGAGAAAATTCTAAACACTCTGTAACAAATAAGCACTTTTAAGCAAAACAAATTTCTGTAATTGTCAAGTCCAAAAAAGAAAATATTTCTTTCTGTACCCTGAGTCCATCACCTCTCTGTTAGGAGATGGGTAGCATGCTTCATCATGCATGCTCTGGAACTGACATTGGTAATAATAAATGTTTGTTAATTGATTGAGCTAGTGTACTTAATAGTGTGCCATATCTTGTATGTCTCATTCATATATAATTACATAGTGTATTAAAGTTTACCTCACAACCACCCTGTGAATATTATCAGCATTTTATAGATTTTTTTTTTTAAATTAAGTTCAGGTTGACTTCCTCACGGTTCCTCAGTTAATTAAATGGCAGAACCAGAAGGGGAAATTGGAGACCTTTGAAGTCCAGGACAACTTCTATCATATTAGCTCCATGAAGGCAGGGAGTGTCTTATCCTGTTTTCTATCTCCCTTAACACCTAGCACAGTGCTCTGCACACACTAGGTCCTTAATAAATGTCTATTTTTGAAATAAATGACCCTTCCTGTTTTCAAATTTTCTATTGACAGAAAATCTTCAAACACTATGACACAGACCACTCCGGCACCATCAACAGCTATGAGATGCGCAATGCTGTGAATGATGCAGGTATCTGGTCTCAAAGTGGGTGGGCGAGGATGTGAGGGTGTGAGTGGAAGTAGGCCTAAGAGTGGGCCATGTGAGTTGGACCTTTGCAAGTGGGAGGAAAAACAGTAAATGAAAAGGAACTGTGGAGGGAGGAGAGACTAAAATAACACCAAAAGTTGAATTTTACCTCCCCACTCAATGCTGTCCTCCCCAGGCTTCCACCTCAACAGTCAACTCTATGATATTATCACCATGCGCTATGCAGACAAGCACATGAACATCAACTTTGACAGCTTCATCTGCTGCTTTGTACGGCTGGAGGGCATGTTCAGTAAGTGGCGAAGCAACGGCTTGGCCTTTCAGCTCCTTGTTTTATAGACTGAGCTGATGAAAGATGGCTTTCCCTCTTTAATTACTGAGGATTGGGGTGAAGTTGGGCAAGACTTTCTCAGTTAGTCCTTGAACAATCAAGATGGTCCCATCATGTCTCTCATATGAGTGTGACCTCTCATAGTGGCCAGGGCAGGAGGGGACTGCCTAATCTCTTTCTCTGCTCTGTTCCTTCACACAGGGGCTTTTCAAGCCTTCGACAAGGATGGAGATGGCATCATTAAACTCAACGTTCTAGAGGTAAAGGCTTAAGAAGCCCCCTACTCTGTTGTAAGGTGCAGGTGGGAATCACAAGAGATTGGCCTGGCCCACCTTGACTTCCACACTATTACACACAGCCTTGAGTCTCTGTAGAGAAGAGAGCCCTTAAAAGCCAAGTGACTGATGGGGTTTTGTCTTCTGGTTGGGGGATAGGAGTGGGAAGTTTGGGACAAAAGCTCTCAGCTGTCAGATGAACTCTGAGGCAATGGTTTGGGGACCTTTCCTAGCAGGATGGCAGAAGGCAGGAAAGGATGTAAGAAGCAACAATAAGCTGTTTGTCTAGCACTATGGCATCCTGGGTTCTTTACCTTGGGAAGGTCGGATTTGGGACCTCACATCTTTTTTCCATTTAATTTCACCTAATCTTGGCTTCTTCCCTTTCAGTGGCTGCAGCTTACTATGTATGCCTGAACCATACCTCCCTCAACTCAAATAAAATTGAACAGAATGAACCATTCGTGATGTCAACCACAGCAGCTAGTCACTTCTAAGAAAGAAACACCCCTAACAGCCTTGGGATTCCCATGATGGTTCTCTTCTGTCATTCTGTACTCCCAGCTAGCCTCAGGATGTTCCAGTTTCATTATTCACTACATCTGCCCTTGGGATAACCAGATGCCTTCTCCAGGCCCATAAAGCTGCTCCCCTACCAACCTTAGCCCTCTAGGATAAGGTATGAGCAGAGGTGTAACTTCTCTTCCCCATAAAAGCAGTGACATTATCTCAGAGTAATACAGTGAAGAGAATCTCTGCCAACTTCAGAGTTCCAGTTTAACCCTGGGGGAAGATTTTAACTGGAGAGGATCAGTCCAGGCATCTAAAAGGCTAACTTGATCCCAGAGCTAATGCAAGGGTTTGAGCCTCCAATCAAGGTCCCTCTTTGGACTGTCCCCAATCTCCAGATCAGAACTGACCTCAGGGGTGGGACATGATGCAATTATTGCTAGGAAAACTACAACTAGTTCAAAACCAAACCAGGCCTGAGGAAGGGTAAGGAAATACTTCCTGGGGTATTTGTCCAGCACTGTCCTTTGCTGGTCACATTAAAGAAAAAGACCTTCATTGTTTACATGCTGATGGACATTAAGCATGGAGTGCCTCCTGTACTCCTTCCCTCTATCCCAGCCCTTGGTTTTACTTCAAGATTTTATTTGTTCTGGATTTATACAGAGGAAAGGTAGACCAGAGTAATTCCTTGTTTGGGTTGTCACAGGTGATTGGTTGTAGTCCCAAGAAGACTTCCCAAATTAATAAAAGGTATGTGTCTGTCTGTCTAGTGTGCACTGTTTGACTCATTTGATATTCTCAGCAGGGAACAAGGCTGGGTTTCTCTATCTACCTAGTAGCCAAAACAGTCCTGGGGTAGAGAACTCCTTAGTCTCAGAAGAGAAAACAAACAGACCCAAGAAGATTTTGATTTAGACAAAAATGCTGAAAAGACAAAATTTTAAAAGTCCCTTTAGAAAAGTGATCATTTAAAAAGCCTGTGAACACTTTTCCAGGGACAGGACTGTATGTGAAAGAAACTAGTTGAAATGTCTGGACTGTATACCGGGGGCAAAGGGTCTCTATATTGGCCACCACCAGTATGAGTTGGTAACTCATTCGAATGCAATTACAGAAAACACTCAGAAAGTTGTGTTAAGGTCCCAATGTTTAAACTTGCATTGAGGTTGTGACTTCTGTTGGTTATACCACTGTGGTTTGCTAATGGACTGTACTTGGCCAGGAACTGCCAAAGAAACACTTGATTTGGGATTTTAGCAATAACCATCATACAGAATCTCAGCATTCCAAGCCTTTTAGAAGGTGCCTTGGAGGTCCTTTAGTCCAACGTATGTCTTCAGGAATCTCCTCTATAATCTCCCCAACATTTTTTTTCTCCTAAAGTGACTTAAAACCCGTGATGACCCCCACCCTACTTTGTAGGCTCCATCTTGATGACCTGTATCCTCCCTTGTGCAGCCTGTCTTCAAAGGGAGAAGTAGGACACCAACTCAAGTAAAAATTTGCACAGAGCTATCTAAGAACAGAATGGGCTACCTTAAGGGCATACATTGCAGTTCCCTGGGGCTCTGGCCTCCAAATTAGTCATACCTAAACACCAAAAGCGTTTAAGGGGAGGCTGAATGACCACTTGTTAGGGATGCTATGGATCGAATTTTTTACTTAAATTGAAGTTGGATTAGATGGCCTCTGAGCCCCCTTCTGAAAGGGCTGAACAACAGCAAAGTTCCCTTCTGATTGCAAGAGACTCTAAGCACAGAAAAGTGGCTAAGTTGGCTATAAACAAACAGCTGGACGGCAATTAAGTTGACAGAGCCAATTATTAAAAGTATTTAAGTTTTATTTTCCTCTCAATATTTGCTTTACTTTTTCCTTTACAAAGTTTCATGGAGTTCACAGCTTTGTACCAAAATGAAAGAGGGCTAAAGTATTTGCTTATTAAATATTTTAGAACTGTCTCACCCATTTTCATTCTTCTAAATCCACACATACTGTGTTTAAAACTTCAGAACACTGAAGTAGCTCTGGTGTATATATAACTAAGAAAAAAAAAAAGGTTTTTTCCAGCATCATTTGTACTATTTCCTAGGACATGGCGTAATCTACAGGGTGTCCCAAAAGTCTTAGTGCAGTTCAAAGCCTCAGCTAAGACTTTTGGGTCACCTGGTACGTCTCGAAAAGTTTCAAAAGTCTGACGATTGCCATGTGATACAAAGATCTTATACATTGGGGAAGTTTGTTAAAATCGTGGTTCTGTTTTTGATAAGGGATATCTTAGACACATTTGTACATGAAACTCAGTCAAGACCCTATCACTACTCCAAGGATAGCTTTTACTTATTATTTGCTAAACCAGCGTCACTGGCCAGGAGAAGGCAAGCTGGAGGTGGGGACCTCACCACAGCCCACAAGGGCAGTTGTACAAATAAATCCTCACTGTCCTGAGCCTGTGGGACAGGAGGAGGAAGCAAGTGAGGTAACTTGCTTCTCTTCAGACCCTGAGGAATAGAGGTGGGAGTAGGGGATGAATCAGTGGCACAAATAAGACCATGGGATGGTGCTTTCCTAAAAGCCTCAGGAGTGCAGTTAAAAGGCTAGAGACTTTAAGCCAAACTATTTGAGCAAGCCCTGCTTCTGTTTCACTTGAAGATATGCCCCCCTCTCCACCTGGACTCCTGTCTATCAATAATTCCCTTCTCTATACTGGTTACACTGTCTCCCAAAAGCAAAACTGTCTTCAAACCACATTTATGTCCAGTTACTGAAGATTTATGGCATAACTGACAAAAACACTCATTAGGATTACAGTAACTCACACAGCAAGTTCTCTGAACACAAGTTACAGGTCGTCTAGAGCAAAATGCAACAGCCTGCCATGGTCCAGGTCTAAGGAGTGGATCGAAGCTGTCCTGCAGAAGAATCTTCTCTTTATGCAAAGGCAGGGATGTGCCTTTGAACCTTATTCAGGTTCAAGTAATCTCACAGGTCTACATATTTTCCTACCTCACTCTGATTTGCTTGGCCTAAGTGTATTCCTTCGACCCTGCCTAAATCCTAGCCTGAAACTCTTAAATGGAGCTGCAATGACACAAACATCATTTTAAAACACACACACACACACACACACACACACACACACACACACACACTCTCTCTCTCTCTCTCTCTCTCTCTCTCTCTCTCTCTCTCTCTCTCTCTCTCTCTCTCCAGTTCCCTGGGTCTCTGGCCTCCAAATTAGTCATACCAATCAAAAGTTGCATCATAGAAATGCTTTCTATAATGCGACTCAACTTCCAACACGAGCCTCTTCTGGTCATATCTTCTAACTGTGTTACCTACCACTGATTAGATTCTCCATATCATTGCCAACATACAAGCAACAATCTATGCTCAATGTTTCTTTGTGAGATAATACCAAAAGCTTGGGTCAGCTTTGACATTCTTGAAGATTAAAACAAACAAAATATAAACAAACAAAAAAGCCCTAAAGGTGTGCACATGCCTCTTAAAACACTTTACAAAAAAAAAAAAAGGCTATTAAGTGTTTACTCCCTCGATTCCAAGGCCAAACTCACATCCATAAGATTTTCATTTTTAAAAAGTGCATCATCTGTTAGCCTGTGAATGAGATTTCCACATGTTCTTAGAAAGTTTTCAGCATTCTTCCAAAGAAATCTGGGAGATGTGGGAAACCGTCAAAGGTACACACACACACACACACACACACACACACACACACACACACAAGAAGGCAGACACACTGCATATCGTCCTTCACTTCAGCTACTTCATCTCTTAAGACACAATCACCTCCCGTCAATATCCTTACACTTCCCAAAGAACATCCAGTATGCCACTTTCCTGTGGTATTAGGGCTTCTGAAAGTAATTACTTCAAGGGGTGCCAAGCCTTGATCTTTCAGACTTTCCCCAGGCCCCTTTTCCTTCTGTTTTAAAAAGAGCTAACCAATGGAAATGAGTATTTAAGGACCACTGATTAATGGATTATCTGGCTTACCACATGGGCAAGTCTGGCATTGCTCTGGATTGTGGCTTTTGGTTCTAAATGCTCAATCCACAGAGGGCCTAAAAAAAAGAACACCTAGGCCAGAGCAGACCCAAATGAATTCCCCTGAGAGGTGCATTCCCATTATATCCACAGGCTGGCCTGAATTCTCCAATCACAACTCTCAACCTTTAAAGGAAGCAGAGATGTGATGAGAAAAACTTTTTTAAAATGCCACTCGAAAATGATAAAGACACATGAATCTCATACAATAGAATCTTTCTTCTTCCTGAAGACAAGAAGTCAGTTAAAAAATGGGTTTCTTTCTCCTAGGGATAGAAAAGGAAGGAATTTGTAGAGTCATTTGTAAGCCTCAAATCCTTAATATGTCCTGGAGGTGAAGGGACATGTGAGTGGACATACTGAAGGAAAACCTGCGTCTCTCAGACTCTGAGACAGTCACATCATAAAGCTATATTCGTTCTTTTCCTTCCTTTCTATCATCCTCTAGGCAACATTTCTGTGTTAGAAAAATCATGAAACACCTTTCAGTTTCACTTCTAAATGGCCTAGAATGCCCCCCACCCTCCCAAAACAAGATCAGTCTCGCTTAAATACCTAACAAGATTTTTTCTTATGGTTGCTCTCAAAAGAATGAGAAGAATACTCCCCTTCAATAGGAGCCCAAGACAGTACTATTTCTCTCATTGTTTGGTGGGGTGGAAAGGAAAAGATGATGGATTCTCAAATGAAGAAGAAATCTACTTAGTTTTCTGTAAGCAGGGGTTCCACTCTAACTCCACATAGTCTTCATAAGGTTTGGTTGAATCTTGGACAGAGAAGCTGAGAGCATTGTTTATAAGTCCAGGTGGAAAATTACTGTGTTCCAAGGCCAGGTCAACCTAACCTGGTTTGTGAGGTGGGGGATGAGAGAAGGAAGTCAGCTTTGGATCAAGCCTCACAAGCTTAAGAATCAGAAGCCAGAAAACAAAATTAAGGCTTCCCCTCTTTTATGTCTCTGTTACTAGATTATATTTGTATTATATGCTCCAGTTCAATAGTAAAATCAGTGTTACTCATATAAGCAGACAGAATCATACTAAGAAGTAGTTGGGTAGGAATTAGTATGCTTCTGCTGAATGAACAGGGTTGAGCTGCCATGCCCCAGGTCACCTGAAGTGCAATTGTTTGCAGAACAGCCATTCTACCTCCCAAAAGTACTGTGTCCTTTACCACTTATCACAAACTTCATCCAATTTCAAAGGAATAATATTGACACTTAAATAGCACATTACATTAAGAAAGCAAAAGGTTTACTTCCAAGTTAACATGAAAATACCTGGCAGTAACTTGCAGAAAGGAAATTAAAACTCAATCCTGGAAATGCAGAATCTGACTGCATCTAACAATCAGATGTTCTGGTTGAGTATTTAAACCTCTTTAATAACTTAAATTTTTTAAGAAAATTATCTGCCAAGAATGTGACTGATAAAGATTCTGCATCTATTAAAACACCTGGAGCACATTAATGGACACAGATCATGCTGCCTTTACAGAAGGGCATCGTGTATCTGCACTACACCATCTCCAGGGGCATGTTCTTAACATTTGTTACACCTCATTAAATAACAAGCCTCCAGCTTGACCGTAAAGGGTTAACCCATATTCCCAGAGTTATACAGGTTCATGGCATGTAATCATATTGCCCTTCCTGCCTTTTTTTTTAAAGGGATGGCAGGGTGAGGGGAAGGGGAGGG